CCTACTGCAAAAGAAGGGCTGTAGCCCCCTTAAAGGCACATACACCCATATACTAGGGGCCAGGTTTTAGGCTCCTAAGAAGGTGAGAAGCCACTCTTTTTTTCTTCTTGTATTTATCACTGTGGGAATTACTACACCAGAAGCTGGTTTGCTTGCCTTGTTCCTCCACCCCTTCTTCTCTCCATATATGAGGAACTGACGAATTGGATAAGAACTAGAGGTCGAGTGTCACCTTAGTACACATATGTCCAAGTGATTTGAGCCTATCCTGAGAGGCTCTAGCCCATGTGAGTGGGACTACTGTGGATTTGTTACACCATAGATAGTGCTAAAATATAAGTCACTACAATATTGCACTATATGAGTTTCTTTTGTTTCAGATTTGTATATTGGAATGTACTGCCTATATATTGTATACTGTGTTAACCCGTAAGGGTAAGTTTGTATTATATGAAGCGCTCCAATTACACACTAGGGGTGATATATTGACATTGTTCACTTCTGTGTGCTCTGCTTTCACATACTTCTATAGGAAGGAGAGTTCTTATATCTATATTGTAGCGGCTGACATAGTATTTTTCAAGGTCAAAATTGAAAAGCGCCTATTTTACACACATTAACTTACTCCTTTGTGAATTGTCCCTATAATCACTGAACTTACAATCTTGTAAGTAAAGCCAAGAAAGCTATCCAGCTAAAAGAACATTCCATTGCATTTAAAACTTTTTTTTTTTAAATCTAGTAGATGTATTCCCAAAAGAAAGCTTTGTGAGTCGAAGTGTTTTTTCAAGACCATGGACACCAAACTGAACATCTAACACGGTCTGTGCAAAAATTCCTTTTGATCAAGGACCCACATTTTAATCTATTTTAGATGATGAAACAAATGGGGGGCAAAAAGTCTCTTCAGCAAGAAAAGAAAGAAAACAAAAGCCTCGGTGGAATAATAATAAGGGTGCAGAAAATGCTCTTGCAAATAGATAAAACTGTCAAGATTATTTTACAAGCGGATTGGTCATTAAGTCACCAAATATTCAAAGAAATGTCTATGCTTTCATAGATCTACTAGCCACCGAACAAATTCAAAACTCCTCCAGTTTGGATCCATTAAAAGAAAAGATTGACCAGACATTCTGGATGCCTCTTCTGCATTGGCCAAAGGGAGATACTGCGAATTCATTTTCTATCTAGAAATCTTGGTGAATTATTTATCAGCTCATCGCTGAATGGAATGTTTTTAAACTTTACAGCATAGACCAAGAAGTTATTATTCTACAAACGTATTAAACCTTACATAAGAAAGTTCTACCCCAGGATTTAAAAGAAGTTTTATGGAGAGTGTTGCATGGTAAATATTTGGCCATTAGTGGCTTTAATTTTCTGCCTTTTCATATTCTTACAGTTTTTGCAAACAGACTTTCACTAGCCACACATAAAAACAACACTCCAACACCAATTCAACTTTAATTTGTAAGGATTTGGCCTCTTTAAATTTGCTGTATTTTTACATGCCCTACAGTTTTTGGGCAATAAAATTTAATGTTTCGCAGAATGCTAGAGAGCACAATCCACATGATGCTCCTTTAGGCTCACTAGACAACAAGGCCAATACCTATCCTTGCCGATGCACTTATTCACTGACTACAAGTCTTTTGCTGCAATGGTAACATAATCCATACAAAATGGTTCACTATTGCATGGGATAGGTTTGTGGATTATGTTTCCTATGCTATATTTCACTACTTGTTTATGCTTTATTGCATTAGTATAAAGCACATATGGAGCCATATAAACTATGATATTGGAAAGAAACTTCTCTATTTTATGAACACTCTAAACACAAAGCATTTTAGCTTGCTGAAATGCTCTGTACGTACAGTGTGACCTTTTATTAAAAACGTCAGATTTCAATACAAATCAGAACTTTTATAGATGAATGTTACATTACATCCCTGGTTCTAAGGTGTTCCCTCCTGGTAGTTTACCTCCATGAAGCTAAACTCAAAAGGTAGGTGCTTTCCCAGAAAACCTGCCTTTGAACAAATTCTTAATAAGCTATAATACAGCAGATACTTCTGCAACTGGACAGCACTGCATGTGTGTAGTTGGTCCGCAAGGACGGTTTTCCAAACTAGTTTGTGGATCTCTCTAGGTCTTGAGTTACCATTGGCCTCTTGGTTGTTTCTCTTACTAATGTCTGTTGTAGCTGGTCTCTGTTTTGTTGCTCATATTTCTATATCAGAGTCATAGTTGAGACATATTTCCATTTTTTTCCACGTTAAATGTAATGGTGCTCAGGCCTTCAGATTTACCATCTGCCTCCAGGTAATATTTCAGACAAAAAGTATAGCCTGAAATGTTATAATATCATTACAACTGTAAAGCCATATATTGAAAACTGCTATTGGCATGTACGGGGACTTCCAACTACCACCATAGTGCTTGGATGCCTTTTGTAACCAAAAGAGGGCTATTGTGCAATCACCTTAGTAGTAAAAAGTCCCAGTTTAGGGTACTTAAAATGGAGGCCATACTTTATACATAGACTGTCATCATGTATGTATGTGTGGCAGAGCGATACAGGGTACTTTGTCCATCACAAATGGGCTTGGGTTAGGGTTTTTGGAATCTATACAGACTAGTCAACTGTGTTCCAAGTCAGTAGTTTCAAAAAGCCAATAAGATGAAGGCCTATACATAAAGGGGCATAATTTAACATGATTAAAAGTTAAAGGGACACTATAATCACCAAAACAACTTTAGCTTAATGAACAGTTTTTGTGTAGAGATCATGCCGCTGCAGTCTCACTGCTAAATTCACTTACTTTAAGGAGTTAAATCACTTTGTTTTTGTCCATGCAGCCCTAGCCACATCTCCCCTGGCTGTGATTCCCACAACCTGTATAAAATCCAAAATGCTTTCATTTTTAATCAGGTCTTAAACTTACTTTAAAAGTTTTTATCTCATGCTCTGTAATCTGAACTTTAATTACATACAGGAGGCTCCTGAAGGGTCTAGCAAGCTATTAATAGTGCAGAAGATAAGAAATACTAAACTATACCGAATTCGCAATAAAGTGTAAATATTAGATGACTCTTTACAGAAAGTGTTTAGGAAGGCTGTGTAAGTCACATACAGTGATGTGTGCCTACGGCTACATAAACAAAGGGATTTAACACTTATATGGCAGAGAACTGAGCAGTGACCCTTCATTAAAAGGGTCACTCCAGGCACCCAGACCACTTCTGCCCATTGGAGTGATCTGGGTGCCAACTCCCACTACTCTTAACCCTGCAAGTGTAATTATTGCAGTTTTTTATAAACTGCAATAATTACATTGCAGGGTTAACTCCACCTCTAATGGCGGTCTACTAGACAGCCACTAGAGGGCACTTCCTGGTTTCTAGCACAGAACCTCCAGTGTCGCTCATTTCCCCATAGGAAAGCATTGAAATGCATGTTCAATGCTTTCCTATGGGGAGCGCTAATGCGCATGCGCGGATTGCGCATAAAGTCTCCCCAGCCGGTGGGCGGGATCAGTCTCGCCCACCGGCTGACGCAATGCAGAGGAGCAGCGGCGGAAGCAGCGACGTGGGACATCGTCGCTGCCTCAGGTAAGTTACTTAAGGGGTTTTCACCCCTTCAACAACCGGGGATTGGGAGGGAGAGGGGACCTGCAGTGCCAGGAAAACAGATTGTTTTCCTGGCATTCGATTTTCCCTTTAAGCTAAAGTAGTTTTGTTTACTATAGTGTCCCTTTAAATTTTGGATCTACAGAAACAAATGTTAAACTACACCTTTTATACGCAGCGCATTCTGTGAGATAAATGTATGAATACATACATGGACAGCCTATTTGTGAAGACATCCAGCAATATCTTGATACACAGATACCAGCATACATTGGGACCCCAGTATATATATATATTTTTTTTAATACAATGTTATCCACAGTCTTCAGGTGGAAGGGGTTTTCAACACTATTTTTCCCCAACATAACCTATTTGTTCTTTGACACACACACGCGCAACAAACTCTTTAAGAGACACTAGGCATTCGGTTGACTGAATAGAATGATTCCTTATGTATGAGGAGCATCGGATTAGCCTTTCATCCTGAAATGCAAATATACATTCCTAATGCAACAGTGTTCCTTTAAGTGGTCATTCAAAAAAATAAGTCATGGAATCTGAGTCTAAACTACTTCCATGCAGATAAACCTGTTTAAAGGCTATTAGAGGCTATTAACATTTAGAAAACGTGAGCAATACTTTCACCCTGCTTCATCTTAACAAAAGGTTTGTTATCTGAATATATTAATGCAATACAACAGCTGAACCGCTACATCCAATTTAAAGGGACTCTATAGTCACCAAAACTATTTTAGCTTACGTAAGTAGTTTTGGTGTACAGATCATGTCCCTGGATTCTCACTGATCAATGCTCTGCCATTTAAGAGTTAAATCACTTTGTTTATGCAGCACTAGTCACACCTCCCTGCATGTGACTTGCATAGCCTTCCTAAACACTTCCTGTAAAGAGCCATCTAAAAGTTACTTTCTTTATTGCAAATGCTGTTCTATCCAGAATTTCTTATCTAGTGCTCTGTTAATAGCTTGCTAGACTTTGTAGTAGCCTCGTCTGTGTGATTAATGTTCAACTTACAGAGCAGGAAAAAAAAAATACTTTTTAAATAAATTACATCTGATTTAAAAGTAAAACCATTTTGTTTTCATGCAGGCTGTGTCAGTCACAGCCAGAGGAGGTGTGGCTAGGGCTGCATAAACAGGAACAAAAGTGATTTAACTCCAAAATAGCAGAAAATTGAGCAGTGAAACTTCATAGGCATGATCTATACACCAAAACTGCTTCATGAAGCCAAAGTTGTTTTGGTGACTATAGTGTCCCTTTAATTTTTAAACAGTAATAATTCATTTATAGTATTCAAATGTGTATTAAAATAGCACCGAGCCAAAACATGTTTAAATATAATTTATTAAGACATTCAGCTATGTCTGTCAGTCTACATCCAAATGTACCACTAAAAAAAGAGCAAATGATAGTTATCTAAAATAAAAAGTCACATTTTACATTAGGAAGATTGAAATCTCAACCTCGTTCCTTTACAGCCAATGTGTACTAGTATAAATTAATCATTTTCTTTTCATATCAAAATTCACATAAAAAATGGTTTGTTTTTTTCCTTATATTCCTATCCACCTAGCCATGATCAATGTAAAAATTGAAACACTTTGATAGGGGAGGATATATATATTCATATTCAGTGGTTCCTAAACCTCTGCCTCTAAACCAAGACTTGGTTCTTTTATTGCATGAACCATAAAACACTATATTCAACAGGCCATAGACAGTTGCCCACAAGAAACTGTTGACTGTACTGTCTTTTCTGTTGCAATAGAGGCCCCATGTGGCAATGGGAAATCATCAAATGCAAGCATTTTGCAGAATTTATTTTAATATTCACTATGATACAATTGAATAATGGGTCGCCAAGCTAATGACGTGCATTTGGGTCCCTGTCAAAAAAGGTCAAGAACCACTGATACACACACACTACCAACAGCCTTAAAATGGCATTTGCGTAGTTTGATCATACACAAAAGTATGTACTCATTTCCAAAAAGTGCAAATACTGCCAAGTTTTAACACTGTATTTCTTTTAAATAACATTGCGGTCGTTTAACTCATACGCCCCTTTCTGTGCAATGAAGTTCATCCTGCTTAGATAGCAGTCACCTGAACTTCATTTATACTTCATACAGGAACGGAGTTTAAGTGCAGCGTAATACTAAAAAGGTAAGAAGGAAATGTGATAATCACTCCAGGCCGCAGATTCTGTCATCCAAAATCCAGTGACATTCCCTTCCCGAAATAACCCCTCCCTCCAAATTTGTGTATAATTAAGAGTGCAAGCAAGTGTGCATGCAAGCATGCAGCATCCTCACTGTGAAATCACATCGGGTGCTTTAAAAGAGGGGTGGGGACGGGGGGAACCCACAGAAAAAAAAACAAAACAAAAAAAAAAACTTCCCCCATGCTTTGTTAAATCGGACATGAAAAATCTGTTAAGATTATCTGTAAACTTTGATAGACTTTTTAAAGAAAAGAAAATTAAACAAAAAAAAATGATAAACAAAATTGATGAAACAACTCCCCCCCCCCCACCCCTCCCCATTTACAATAATGAATCCCAAAAATAAGCAGTGAGCTAGCTCCTTTTGCAAGGACTAGCAACATGTACACACAGAATTGATTATCTTCATCGGCACCAAAATCGTGAAAAGAAAAATCCTCATGGGAACTTTTTTTTTTTTTTTTTTTGCATACACTTTGCTCAGCATCAATGGTTAAATTCTCCTCAAATATCAAAATGCTGCAAGTGATAACATGGGATTTGGCTTTGAAAAGGCAAGTCTGAACAGGCTGATAAAACACAAAATAGATCAGATCCCTGCAAAAACTTCTGGTATTTGAGGAGGAAAGTGTTCATTTAAGCCCGGAGGTGGTTCTTCGTCTGTAGCCGTTACACCCCCAAACTCTTCATTTCTGTTTAAACCTGCAGCTTGGCTGTGCAAGTCCTTCTCATACAGCTCTTTAAAGCTACCTGATGATCCGGTAGGCAGAGTCTCTGGTGGAAACTCTACTTTTTGGGCCATGTTCTCTTGAACGTTTTGCAGAGGTTCTGCCACTGTCTCTGCTCTGGAAACATCTATTGGTGGTGGGTGGTGTATATTTTGAGCCTCTTCATTATTTGTAAGGGTGTCCGTTTCCACCACAGCTTGCGGAGACAGAGATTTCAACTGGCAGTGACACAACGGACAGGTTTCTTGCACATACAGCCACTTCTTAAGGCACCCAGCATGGAAAAAGTGACTGCAGGGTGTGATGACTGCTGTATTCATGTCCTAAAAGAGAAAACAAATACACATGTAAAACCTACTCAAAGGACTGTTAATGGATTAGAACATTAACCTAAATAAACAAAAAATATTTTAGGATCTATCTAAAAGAGCAATGTTTTAGGGTACATATATCAATGCACTGGTGTTGCAGTGAAAATTAATTCCAGGAGTTCCCTTCTTTAAAACTGGAGAGAGACACCAGGGAGGGAAGTGAACAACAGACAGACTCACTGACAAATATATTCTAAGTATCCTATACCATGACTGCTGTAAATATATAGGGTTGTGCTAGTGCTCCAAGTGTTATACACCAAAACTGCTGTAAATACAGATGATTGTGCTAGTGTTCTAAGTATCCAATACCAAGGCTGCTATATATATATATATATATATATGTAGACAGAGTTGTGATAGTGTAAGGTAGGCAGTAAATCTGGTTATAGAATGCAATGCCTGTGTATTACAATTCTCTGCAATATTGGACTACTGGTTAAGAGTTGGGTAAAGTATGTTATGTCTATATTTATGCATATTGTGTTTGGGTCTTTGTTAAATATTTTGTTACACACTTATGTAAAGTGTGAATGGCATTTTTAATTGTTAAATCCCTAATGAAGACTGCATTATGTTTATTTTGTGCGCTCCTATGTTATGCTTTCGTGAGTTGTTTTTGCCCTGTGGAAACAGGGTATGCATAGTGAGCAACTTAACAATTAACTCTGATTTCAGTATATCCAGATTTGTGCCCTTCAAAAGCAATGTAGTAATTGACTCTAAAGAATGTATTGTAGCAGAACAAAATTACCTCATCTCTTGGACTGACGCTTCTGTTCGTTTAAGTGTACTTGTTATGCAAAAATTTTACAACATAACTAATCTATATATTGTGCTTGAAAAATTGCTAAACACGTGTAATCATCTTTTTCAGTAATTATGCTATAAGTGCCTATATTGTAGCAAAATTCTATTAAGAAATTAAAGGAAGCCTAAGGTAAGAGTGTGTGTATTTCACACACTTAAAGGAACATGATTCCCAACGCTATAGTGGTCCCCTACTAACGTAGGTAAACAAATGCATAACACAATCCTAGGAGCAGCAGTTCTAGATATGGTTCTTCTTTCCCCCACATGCAAAGGCAACTGAACTTCTTTGATTCATATTATTAACTCAGGATTGCAGCTAACCTGATAACAGATAGAACAAATGTCATTATGTTTCTCCAGTTGCTCTTTGGTGGCAGTTGGTAATGATTTGATTTTATTCACTGCATCTCTGCGCAACAGGAAACTCTTCCAGCCTAGCTGTGCCCGCAGCCAGACATTATAATAAGAGTGGATAAAGATAATCATGGATCCCATCACAGTCCATTCGCCAAACACAGTTTCAGAGACTCCATATGCAACGACACACAAAGCCACCAAGAACTCTAGCAGACGGTACGTGCCGTTCACGTAATAAATGACATCATCCATGTTTTCAACTGGCTCCTTCCGGAACTCCTCAATCATGAAAAGGACGTAGATGAAAAGTGTTCCAAGCACCTGTGACCAACACAATGAAACGGAGAAATTATCTTGACAGATATGAACTAACTTTTGCCAACCAAAATAATTTTCTGATGGCAAATTTAAAACAAGAGGATATATTCACTTGGGTGCAACCTGATATGGCTGTAAACACTCAAATATGTTGATAATGATTTCCTCACAGCTCACAAATGGAAAAAATCAAACAGTCTCCCCATGTGCTTCCTTAGTGGCAATTTACCTTTCCCTCAAACATTGTGGGGTTCCAACAAATGTGTTCATCTGAGTAAATGTCATGTGTATTTTAAACCTTCCATTACACTAGAAATTAAAAAATAGAGTGCACTTATTCCAGCTTGGCTTTCAGTGAGTTGTACCTAAAGGTAATGCTATGATTTTAAAGTGAATGAAGGCAGCGTACAAGTTCAGCGTGACTTCTTAAATAATAATGAACTATGAAATGCATATAAAGCACACAAGTGAAAAATTGTAAAATAAAGTCTACTCTACAGAATCAGACTGGAAAGCAGAGTTGAATACAGAAGAGCCTTAAAAAAAACAAAAACAAAAAACTTAGTTAACCGGTAAAGAAAATATTTAAAGGGAAAATATATTGAAAGTAAACAATACCGAAGGATGGATTATGATTTCATACCTGCAGAGATGTGAGGATGCTGCTGGATATGATTATTAAGAGCCAGAAGTCCATATGGAAGAACTGACAAATCATGTAAGCCATATATGATGGGAAAATCAGAAGAAACAAGCAAAGGCTGACAGCGCGGAAATGTTTCCACAGGCTCCTAGTTAACAAAAAAAATGCAAACACAAAATAACTACACAGTTATAGATTGTACCAGCAAGGAAAAAAAAAAACCACATGCTGCAAATTTAAAATTATTATAATACTTTAACCATTTAAGATTGAATACCTTTCTGACGTAAAGCTATCAGATAAAGTATAATTTACAGTGAACCAGAGTTGCATATTTTAAAGAACACTAAGTGAAACGATCAGAATGTTTTTGAAACACCCCAAAAGCCAAATCTTGTTGGTTACCAATAAGTAATACTACTGCCAACAATTACTAACCAAAACACTGCTAATTAAGTACAAATAATTAAGGCTAGCAGGATCACAGTGTTTCCCCACAACAGGATTACTCTTAGTAATTTAGCACTTATAACTCCAAGTTTTGATCTGCAGAGTAAGGCAATTAAATGTAAAATCTTTAAATAATTTTAAAGATTCAGAAATAGTAAGGATTTGTTCCTGAAATCAGCAGTCAGAGAAAGCATGTGAACCATTCAAAAGTATCTGTATCCTAATTTCCTGCAACAAATGTTTGATATGTATGCTAATGGTTTAACAAATTTCACATAGAAAGGACTTGTTTGTATTAAAAACACTGTTCCTATAGATCAGGGGTTCGTAACCTGTGGTACGCGTAACCCCCCCAGAGATACAATCCAGTGCCCCTAGGGGTACGCAAAACAAAATTGGCAATGGCGGCGGTGCCGGCAGCCGCACGGGTTGGGTACCGCAAAGGTACAGGCCCATCGGGTGGCCCATGCTCTCAGGGCCAGCTGATGGACATGTGTCACAAGTGGCCCGTTTGTGCATTGTGACGCTTTAATAGCACGACCAGGCACCTTCTAACCTGCACAGAGAGCTGGTAGGAAGTGAGTGAGGCTGTACTTCCTCCCAGCTCAAAAAGAACCTGCCACGCGGGAGGCAAACTGCAGGATTATGGAGGCGGGTGGCATGCTGGGAGGTCGTGGAGGAGGGCGGCTAGCTGCGCTAATAGAAGGAGGTCGGTGAGGAAGCTCCGATGTCCCTGCTCTGCTCTCCCGCGTTCCGCTTAAAGAGACTGGGGCCGGAATATGACGTCATATTCTGTCCCGGGTCTCACTAAGCAGCATGCGGGGGAGCAGAGACATCACAGCTCCCTCACCGCCGGCAACAATACGCGCAGTCAGCCGCCCGCCTCCACAACCACTCACCATGCTGCCCTCCTCCATAATCCTGCAATTTGCCGCTCACCAGCACGATCTCCTAGCATGCTGTCCACTGGACCCCAGGTACTAAATCAAGCAATAATGTGAGATTTTATGTCTGTCAGTGTGAGTGTATGTGTCCTAGTGTGAGCATGTAGGTCTGTCATTGGGGTGGGGGGCGTCTGTCTGTAATGGTATGTGTGGTGAGGTGGCAAGACCCCTTCCGTTAGCAAAGGAATGGAGTTTTTACTCACTTTTTTCCCATGCCGTGTTGGTCTCCCCTCGATTGGCCCTGCCTCTATGGCTAAGAATATCAAGCTTGATTATCTCAGCCAATCCAATGTTTTGCCATAGGATTGGCTGCAAAATGTCCTTATAGAGATGCACTGAATCAATGCCTCTCTATGAGGAACGTTAAGCGCCTCCAGGCAGAGCGTGGAGACGCTGCATGTAGGAAGCACCTCTAGTGACTGAGTGACAGTCACTAGAGGCGTCACTAGGAAGCAATTTAAACACTGCCCCTTTTTTTTGTGAAGAAGGGGGAGGGGGTGCAGGGTTTTTTTTGTGAAGGGCAGTGCATGGGGTTTTTGTGAATAAGGAGGGTGCTGGGGTTTTTTGTAGAGGAGTAAAGGTTTTGTAGAGGGGGGCGGCTTGGGTTTTTCCCTTTAGGTAGGCAGGGCTTTTTTAGATGGTGCAGGGGTTTAGTATTAAGGCGTAGGACAGTGTTTTTTTCCTGAAATGGTACAGGGGTTTTGTAGAAAGGGGGTGGGCACGGGTTTTTGTAGAAGTGGGTAGGCAGTGGGTTTTGTAGATGTGGGTAGGCAGGGAGGGGGTTTTGTAGAAGCGGTGGGGTGCGTGGGGGTTTTGTAGAAGCGGGGCTGGGTGGGGGTTTTGTGAAGGAGGGGTGCAGGTTTTTTCTTTTTAGAAGAGGGCAGGGGTTTTGTATTCTTGAACATGTTAACTAAATTGTGGGTGCTTTTTGCATTTTAAAGTGGGTGAAGAGGGGGTGCAAAATGCTCTTGGTGCACCCCAGTGTGTCAGTGTGTGTGTATCTGTATGTGCGTCAGTGTGATTCTGTGTTTCTTTATGTGTGTCAATGTTTGTATCTGTGTGTGTGTCATTGTGTATATCTGTGTGTGTGTGTGTCAGTGTGTCTGTGCAACTGTATGTTTGCAACTGTGTCTGTGTGTCTGTATATCTACATGTGTCATTATGGGAGTCTATCTGCATTTGTATCAGTGTTTGGGCAACTGTATGTCTGTCAACGTGTGTATCAGTGTTTGCACCAGTGTGTCTGTGTATCACCAGTGTGTCTGTGTATCTTTATGCATCTGCATGTGTGGCAGTGTTTGTATCGGTGTGTCGATGCATCTGCATGTGTGGCAGTGTTTGTATCGGTGTGTCGATGCATCTGCATGTGTGGCAGTGTTTGTAGCGGGGGAAGCAGAGGGAGCCTGGGCGGGGGAGAAGCAGAGGGAGCCTCGGGCAGAGTAAATACTTTCACTAGCCAATGGCCTTATCTTATAGTTAGGATAGCCTTATGCATATCCCACGCATGCTTAAACTCCTTTACTGTGTTAACCTCTACCACTTCGGCTGGAAGGCTATTCCATGCATGCACTACTCTCTCAGTAGAGTAATACTTCCTGATATTTTTAAACCTTTGCCACGCTAATTTAAGACTATGTCCTCTTGTTTTAGTAGTTTTTCTTCTTTTAAATATATATAGTCTCCTCCTTTACTGTACTGATTCCCTTTAAGTATTTAAATATTTCTATCATATCCCCCCGTCTCGTCTTTCCTCCAAGCTATACATGTTAAGATCCTTTAACCTTTCCTTGTAAGTTTTATCCTGCAATCCTTGAACCAGTTTAGTAACCCTTCTCTGAACTCTCTCTAAGGTATCAATATCCTTCTGGAGATAGTCTCCAGTACTGCGTACAATACTCCAAGGGAAACAGCCTAGGGATACTTCCACTGGCCACTCCTCATATGGCTGCTAGAAGTGCTTCCTGAGGCAGTGCTGCACAGTGTGCAGCACTGCCATTCAGTGTGTCTACCTTCTGCATGCAGACACTGAACTTTACTCAATGAGATGCACAGTCCGGGCTGTGTTTGGTTTGTGCTGGCTTTGCCCCTGATCTGCCTCCTTGACAGTCTCAGCAAATCCAAAGTTTTCCTTTGGGAAAGCATTGTGATTGGCTTAGATCTCCACTTCTGATAATGACGGCCAAGGAGACAAATTAGGGATAGAGCCAGCAGCAGAAGACTGCAATAAAGGTAAGGTTTTTAGGGGGGACATGAGGACTAGATGGTGGTTTTAACACTATAGGGTCAGGAATAAACATTTGTGTTCCTTTAATGATATTCATGCATAAAAGAAATACAGCAGGTTTCCTTGGTTCCCCCAACCTTTATCAAGTGCACGCTACTCAGGTCCTCCTCTCTATTAATATGGATCACCACTTTGTGATCAGCGCTTTGCAAATGTCTTTTACTAAGAATTTTTATTTCACTGCCACTCCACCAAGACACATTAAAAAGGACTGAGCAAGTTCCTCTTAGTGTTTGTATACACCTGTCTTGAAAAATTTCACAGGTATTTAATGAAAACTACATACACTAATACAAAGCAGCATAAACTTCATATTAAATAGGATGTAGTGCTACTTATTATACCGTAACATTTTTAAAATGGAAAGACCGTAATCACCAATAGCAGCCATTTTTGCGATTGTTGCTAAACTATTGCAATGGGCATGGAAACAGACCCAATGTTGGTGAATATGTATCAATGTGTGCCAATAAAGACAAAGGTGCAAGATTTTTTACTTTTTAGCCTGGTTTTATGCATAATAAGCCTTAACTTTAAGAAAAAGAAAAAAAAAAAATAGATATTTAAGAATTTTACCAATTTACAGAATATTTATATATGCCTAAATTAAAAGTTCAATGGAAATATATTCATGGGTATAGGACCCTCAACCTACTTACTTATCACGTGAAGCCCCCAAAGCAAGAACAATAGGGTCAGCAATTTCCAGCATAGATTGCAAGATGGACGCCACAACAATAAACAGAATTATGCTGAGAAGAAAGGCTCTGTGGACCACTTGAAGCTCAATCAGGCCCGTCTGCACAGCAAGAATCAGTAGAGTCACTCCTTCAGTCATACCCCTGTACACAACAGAAAAATCAAATAAAAAGTTTTTTTGGAAGGAAGAGATTGACAATACAAAGTTATGGGCTTGACTGTTTATTGGGTAGCTTAACCCCTTCTCGTTATTAGGACTTTCCATTTCAGCAAAAGCCGATAAAGCTCTCTCTGTGTATGACGGCATGGAACGCAATGCAGTGTTGGTATGAGCAGGGTTAAATCCTTACTCACACCAGGTAGCCTTAGGTATTATCGGTTACTCCCCGATGTTAGCGGCCATGTTTAGCGGCCCAGACTTTTTGATAAGCTGAAAGCAGCACTGATAATCAGCGCAGCAAGTAGCTCTATAAATAAGAATTAAAGGACTATAAACATTTAGCAATGTTAGCATGGTTAAACCCCTACTCGAACCAGGAAATCCAGGCATCAATAGACACCTGGTATACAATACAAAATATATACAGGGAATACACTGTTCCTATACTACAAAGAGACATAACAGTGTAATAAAATTTACACAAATAAGTGTGCAACTTCTTACATTCTCTACATATAGGGTGCCTCCACTGATTTAAGGGGGCTCATTGCCTTTCTGGTATTTCCAATCCACCTCCTGCACAAACTCCAGTGATAGAGATATATCACGGGATTCCAGCCAGGTCTCAAAACACCCAGGCATGGTCTCTCTGCCTGTCACCAGCCGAATGCGATGGTTGCTGGGCTTTGCCAGTTGTCCAGCACTGATTACAGTAATTGGTTGGGAAGCAGAATCCCTTCGTAATTACATAAAATGTAATTATGAAAATAGCCAGTAGATGGCAGTAACAGACCACCATCTACTGTTTCAATTAAGAAGCCCATCTTCTGACACCAGAATTGATATTAGAAGAGGAATTCATTAGGAGTAGGGGTTAAAGTTAGAAATAAGGTTAGGATTACTGTAGGGTTAGTGTTAGGTAGGGTTAATAATGGGTTTGTGTTAATGCTGCTTTAGAGTTAGGGATAGTGTAAGATTAAAGTTCAGGGTAGGTATATGGTAAGAGTTAGTGTAAGAAACGGGTCCTATGGTTGTTATAATAGGGTTAGTGTGGGTTTAGCGTTATAAACCAATAATTAATTTAGACATATTAGGCATTTAACAAGCAGTAATGATAAATTAATTTTGAGTACTTTTCTTTTAGTTGCACTGGATGTGTGAAAATGATTATAAGCAATAATGTTTATACATATGTGTATGCATTCTATTCTTCCCTCCCCCCCCTCAACCGCTCCACCATTTTTAAACCTTATTCACATCTCATTTTGTGTTGAGCATACATATGGGATAGTAAATGAAAGCCATTTCTGTCCTTTAAAAGTAATATATGTATGGGTGCACCTAAAGAGAAGCCATTAGATTACAGTGGAACAAACAGCACAAATTCTAGGTTTTGGTTCAAAGCTTGGACAATAACCTCTGTTTGTAGAGGTTAAAATGGGGCGTATTAGCAAAAGTTACACATTCTATATAATATTATATTCCAGAAAATGAAAGAAAGAAAAACCAGCCACATATCGTATTGCTTTTCTACTTGCATTTTGATATTTTATATACTATATGATTTTATGGTCATAAATAAGCTCAGAAAAAAAAAGTTACAGCAAAAACATGAAATAACTTAAAAAATACAACACAGAACGCAGTACCTGTTCATGGCCGGATCATTCATGAAAGCTCGGTATCCCTGAAGATAAAACTTGCAGAGGGTCAATACACCAAGAGCCACAAAGGAAACCGTAAATACTAAACCCAGTAGAGAATATGGAGTGCTGCAGCATTCAGCAATACTGTAATAAACACGAGATATACGTACAATTAGTTTTGAATGACGCAAAGTCTAGGTCACAAAGTTGGCTTTGAAGATTCCCAAGCATAGCCTTTTCCAAAAAATTTGTATTACCCAATTTAACTTCAAGCACAGTCTACATTATTGTAATATAGTTTATAAAGTGGCATAGATGTCAGATTTCATATAATTATGACGTGATTTTTCTTTAGAAAATGTTTCTATTTAGACCTCCAAATTTCACAGTGTAATAAATGTATTCTACAGTGAAAAGCAGTGAGCATATATAGGCAAAATATTTCACAAAAACATTGCAATTTTAGGCCAAAGTAGCTGAAATGGAGAACTTATTCAAATGGTATCTGATATACTTTCATTTCAGTTACTTTGTAAAAGAAATTGTAATTCATTGTGAATTCCCACCATATCAAAATGTAACGAATAACTGTCTTAAATTTAGCAATTCGATCACCACAACTCACTGAGTAATTAATTAACCTCAAAGTGATTTGGGCAAGCGCATTGCTTCTAATTACTTATATTTTAATGGGCACACAGACAGATCACATGACAGATACTGGTTCTACACACCAACATCAATATATGATCCAGCAGTCATTGCTGATAGTCAATATTCCCAACTAGTAATAAGTTTTTAGGTACAATATTACCAAAGCAGTCACTGCAGCACACTCCCCTATCTTTGATAGGCTCCAGTTCAGCAGAGGGAACAGGTTTTATGTAACAAGAAGAGCATTGCTTATTGGGTTGCATAAAGTATTTTAGCGCAACTAATAGCTAACTTAGTTAGTGATATGGTTGATACAAGTGGGTAAGTGACACTTAACACACTTTAAAAAAAAAAAAAAAAAAATATATATATATATATATATATATATATTTTTTAAAGGACACAGTAAGAACTAAAACAAGTTCTACTGAAGTGGCTTTTGGTGTATAGATCATGCTCCTGCAGTCTCACTGCTCAATTCTCTGCCACTTAAAAGTCAAATCCATTTTTTCCACCTGCTAAAATATAGTATCCCTACACATTTCCTGAAAAGACCTACATTTTTTAGATGACTTTATTGCATAGTGTGGTTAAAGGGACACTAAAGTGGCCAGGACCACTACAGCTTGGTGTAGTGGTTCTGGTGTCTATATCCTGTCCCTGCAGGCTTTTCAATGTAAACACTACCTTTTCAGAAAAAAAAAAAAAATCAGGTGTTTACATTGGTGCCTAGTAACCCCTCTAGTGGCAGTCACTCAGACTGCTTCCTAAACTAGTGCTGCACAGGACCTACATTTAGCATCTCCACACTCTGCATTGAAACGCTGAACGCTCACCATAAAAATGCATTGAGTCAAACGGTTTGCCATGAATGTGCAATAGCCTCCCCTATGGAGCAGCATTGGATTGGCTGAGATCATCAAGACTGATGATTTCAGCCACGAAGGCAAGGCCAGCCATGGTGAGAACGTTGCGGAGAAAAGGAGCGTAATATCACCTTTCCAGCATGATCAAAGCGGGGCCGGTCACTTAAACAGCCACTTCAGGAATACATGTTTGGAACAGTGAGTTTCCAGACTGTCACTACATGCCATAGAAATATATGGAAAGATGAGGAGAAAGTGAAAAGTTCTCATTATGATATTTTCAGGAGACTTAGTGCTTTGGGGAATCTCACACGTTTTTTTCAAATCACTGGAAATGAATTTTACTTAAAGCAATGAGACTTTACAGTTTATTGCAGTTATTACAGTGCAACAAGGCATTGGGGGGTTGAAGAGGAACTGTTATGGTATTTGGAGTATTCATTTAAAGGAATAGATCTACTGTAATGGTCAAGCCTGGGTTAATCTTCTCATTTTAAAAATAAATCAGTAACACTTGTAAACCTTCACTATTAACACATTAGGATAGTTATCTGTAGCAATGATACAACTGGCTAGTTTCTTTCTGCCATTAACAGAGCACATGTATTATTTCTTTAAAACCATTAAACTAGTTTGCTATAGATTTCTTTGCCTACATGTTAAAATGTGAACCATAGCATCAGATGCTTACAGCCAGCTGTTCTGCACCAACCCAGCTTTGTTTTTCTTGAAGAGGTAGAAGGAATTCATCAAAAAACCTTATCAGTCTGATAACATTCTGTGAATTTCAGAGATGAAGTAAAAAGTGAGGTGGAAATCAATAATAGGATCTTATTTTAAATAAAGAACATTTTAATCAAAGGAACTAGTGCATTATTTATTTACACGGCTCAGAGTTATTATAGCAGAGCTAGGTTAATAATAATGGTTCAGTTCAATTACCGTTTATTCATGAGGAACAGATAATTTGTTCAAACTACAGTTTGTGATGGTTGTAATGCGGAGCCACAAAAAATATTGGCAGAATAAATGTAAAAAAAACAAAAAATAAACCACTTTCTATTAATGATAGAAGTTATGTTACCATTGCATTCCAGTTAGGAAAGCTTTAGCCAGGTAATTGCCACAAAACAGGAATGTTTATTCTATGAATCTTGGACATAGATTGGTTTCCTGCTACTTTCCCTAATTTACCATATTCCGTGCTTCCTGGGATTTACCACGTAATTTTGCCCATTAGCGTCCAACAATGGGGTGAGTCAAGAGTCAGAAGCCACCCATAGACCTGTAGGACACCTCAAGGTATAACAATATTATAGTACTCATTAAATATATTCCTTAACCCCCAAGTCGCCATCTAGAATACATTATCCTGACTTTTAATTCAACCCAAACGTAACGTAATTTGATTACACATTATTAAAGTTCCAGGAAGCATACAGGGCAATTTCTTTAGTTTTCAGGTATGTCCTGGAGATTGTGTTTCTCCAACCTTTGTTTGTATGAACACTCCTGAATTTGCTGCCACTAAGAGTTTATATTTTAACTAGCTACACAGCTGTATTTGTGCCACTTAACCTAAAGAATTAAATACAATTTCCAGTTTGTCCAAAAGCTTTCTTCAGTGAAAATAGGGCCGTAGGGGAAGACTAAAGCGGATATGGCTCAGTAATGTGCAGAATATGACTACAGAATTCTTCACAAGAATCTTAAAAACTGAGGTATCCCCAAGTATGGAGTATGGACATTTTCTAATCTGACCCTTTTCAACACCTTTTACCTACTAAACAGGCCAAGGGACTCCTCATAGATGGCTTCTATAGGAAATCCACCTAGGCCTAGCTCTACTTCTAGCGATCTCATCTTACAACTTGTTACTACTCACCTTGAGAAAATTGTGGTCTTCACAGTTGTGAGAGATTTGACCATAATGGAATTTAACGACTTGCTCTCTGTCTTATGTGGATTTATCAAAATGTGCCATATAATTGAGTTAAGGCCCAGACCCCTGAAAAGTATTAGAGATTGGTACCACTGCCTTTCTCAAAACATTGGACCAAGACCATGCCAACATCATCCTCTTTGTCCTGCTGGAGGACCTTCTAAGCTAGCTACTGGCCTCAAAGACCGAGGCAGTGAAAGGTTTTTCTTCATTTTGTGATTTTTGCCTTCCATTATCTCATTTTGGAGCCTGCACACTAGCTGACATAGCAGAATATATCAAATCTTTCTAATTTCCCCATTTTAATGTTTTGGTATTTATTTATTTTTTTTAAATGTCATGAGGATTGGACATTTGCTGTTACTTCCACATTCCACCCACTTACCCATTTCATATCTGGTGTTAGCATACTGAATTGGTTGGTGTGTCTTATATTTTAAAAATGTGGATAGTTAATGAATTCTACGTAAACTAGATTTTGATTATTAAACAACAAAAAGAATGAAAAAAAGAAAAACAAACAACCCACTACAAACAATGAGAGATTATTCCATTGACTTTTCACAGGATACAGAATTATCTGCTGACGTATGTCCATTTTTACCTTTCAAATGGCATTGCAGAAAGAGATGCAAAAGGTCAAAATGGATGGATGTTGTCATGTTACTGTGCACCAAATTGGAACTTGATGGGTTAACTGCATCAAAACCAAGTTCATAGGGCATGGAAGAGCAAGGGAACTCTGTTATTTATCCTTCCACAGGAAAGGTAGAGTGCATTTTAATCTCAAGACTATCTCAGGAATGCAATATGCTTTCCAAATCAATTATTATTGAACTTAGCTTCAACTAAATAAACATTCCACCCCAGTAATAGACAGTATCTCTGCCTCGTGATCAGGCTTCTTATCTGCTTGGTATCAACCACTCCCTAACAATTCATATACAAAGTGTCGTATCCATCATCATCTCTGATAACAAATATGCCCTTCCAAGACCACACTACACTTCTCCATTACTAGTTATTTACACCGATTCACACAGTAATGAGAAATTAGCTGGACGTAGTAATTTTTCCTCTCATGTTTTTCCAAAGTAGTTTAATTTGCTTAACATAGAGAGGAGTTCCCTGTTGGGTGCTAATCCTACTCGCAACCCACACTGTGCATATTTATTACTGTTAACACTGGATTACAAATATCTTGACTGGCCCCACACTCCGGACTGTTATACATGGCAAGACTTTATAAGACTACTAAACAAGTGTTGCTTATTTTAAATAAGTGATGGCATTCAGAATCTGTTCTCTTACCATTACAAAAGCAACTTTTTTTTTTTTATTTGACTTTGTCATAGCTGTATGTCTATACAGTGAGTAAAGCACTACTTACTATACGTTAGGTTAAAAAAAAAAAAAATGTAAACAGTATAATTTGTCTGTGCACTGATCCATATTTGTATTTTCCATTGAATACACGTTTTAAGATGTTTCATTTACTGTTGTCTTACAGGTTCATACAGTAAGGATAAGTTACATAAAGCAGCACAGAAAAGGGGGGACTTGAACACATCTTCCCTTTAAAAAACACATGTATTTGTTTTATTACCTTTTTTCAATAAAATACATGGCACTTATAAATTGAAAAGAACTTCAACAAACCTAGCAAAAGGCATTTCAATTGGATGTTACTGAAGATCTAAAAGTCACTAAATAGATAGAAAATCTGTATTCACTAAAAAGACAATTCTATTAAAATGTACAGTGTGTCTTTGTTCTCAATGCCATCACAACATTAACATTGCATGAATATTTATAGTAATTGAATACACAAAATCTAATTGATGCCACTGTAAAAATGCTATGGTAACTCCATAACATGAAACAAGAACACTGCACCCAGACACTTCAATGAGATTAAGTGGTATGGGTGTCTATCATGTACCTTTAACAGAAATAGATTTCCATAGGTTTTGTTAGATCCCTTTTATTTGGTTATATTTATAGTGTATCTTAAAAGCAGATAGGAAACTCTCCAGGACATACCTGAAGAGGGAAAAAATAAAAATAAAAATCAACCGAAACTAAAACAGTACCTTGTGAGAAAGAGGAAAAGAAGCCGCTCACGGGAGGTCGGCTGGTCACGGGTGCTGAAATAAGTATAGATCTGAAGAGCAAACAGGACCAGCCAGAACACCATGAATAAGACAGGGACCACAAGTTGATTCCACAGAGACATTCCCAGAGCGAGGAGGCCATAGACCTCTACCACCTGTGTAACAAAATCCTTGTAAGAAACTGACTCATGTAACAGTTATTCTAGATTCAGAAGCCATCCCATTGAATTACCAAAATGATTACCGTTTCAGTGTATACCATATCAACAGAACAGCAAAGTTCTAGAGAAGGGATACTTCAACCAACCAAATTCTTGAAATGCAAGCAATACATTAGCCATATTTTATGATTTTTTTTGTTTAATGAAAATTTTGTAGAAGGTCATTTAGTTTATGGATAAAATTAAAATAAATAAATAAAATAAAACAAAAACATGACATTTTATTCCCTGCCAAATAGTCCATGCTTTGGTGTAAAGCATATCGGACAGAGCGGTCAAACAAATGGACCTGACAGCCCTACTGTGAGATTATGTCTATGTGTCCCCAATCCACAAGAATGGGTAAAAGCATTCAAGATTTGTCTTGTAATGTTTGAGTAATCCTAACTCCTGCTAACGAATGCAATGGCTATGGTGCATAGGTTTAGATACATTGACTTGCAGTGTGATGGTTGTGAATTAAATCCCACTTGCAATTTTGTAGCACATAGCCTTGTACTGTGAGAGCTATGAGATCATATCACATGAAGTTTAATTAATTTAAAAAAGGTTTTTTTACATTTTGGCAAATCATAAATCAGTCATTATTATCACGTTTACTATGTTGATTTTTGAGGTGTACATGTGAAAATGTTGGTAGGCATATGTGTTTAAAATAATCTTTTATTAAATGAAAATCTCATGGAGATCTTATTGTTTGCAATGACAATGAAGTCCTATAAATGACAAAAGTAGTTTATTAGAAAATCTGTCAGGAGCTTCCTTACAAGTAGAAAGATATATAGAGGGTGCAAAATAAAGAGAATATTAAAAAGCGAATTTAAAAATGATCAGCTTTAGTTAATTCAGTAAAAAAAAGTTTATATAGACCATGATCGTTGTGATTTTCAGGCGGTTGCTAGTCTTACCTGTTCACAGACTGCACATGGCAATGTCTGATGATGTGAGAATGAAGCAAGGGAGAACATTGAGATTATTGGTGGGATTCAAGCACTGTCCCAACTGACTTCGCATATGCATGGCTGAAGGATCATGTGATAAAGATCCCCCCATACAGTTAGTTTAAAAAAATTAAATAAAAAAAATGGAACAAATTTCCTATTTATATTCCTGACATCTATATACACACACATATACACAATCCAAATTTCAGCCTGCACTAATAAGTTATTTTTCTTTATAACTCAAGATCGTTACATCCAAAAGTCAACGTTTCAGTCCTCCCAAGGGTCTTTCCTCAGGACATGCATTACCTGTTGAAAGCCACTTGGGATGACTGAAACTTTGACTTTTGTATGTAACTATCTTGGGTTATCAAAGAAAAACTTTTTGAAAAAAAAAATATCTTTGGAGTGCTGGCTAAAATTTGGATTATATAAATAGTGTATCAGAGCATCGTGTAATTTATCCATCGTATGGTATACATATATACATACACACACCTTTCTCTCTGGGATTGTTTGTGCATTCCTCATTGTTTGGTTCTGAGCAGTATCTTAGATTTTCCTAGAATTGCACTCTTCTGGACAGAGATTTAAGGTGTCCCACCAGAAATCTGCTGAAGCCACCCTCCCAGACGACACACAAAGATATATTTTAAGCTGTTGAAGTGTTACGCTGGAGGTTCGCTGTCATATTAGCGTCAGCTAACCAACAAATCCGTCAGTAAATAAATTTTTGAGGGATCATCCAAATAAGCTTAATGCTACCTTACAAACATTGGTAAAATATACATCCTGTATCCTAACACTTGAAAGAGGCTCTGTCACCTTTAGGGGTCTTTGCGTATTTTGATAAGTACCCCAATGGTGTCATTGCTGCTGCCATGGCCCAGGGATGCAGCAGAGGGGAGATATATTTACCTGTTGCTGTTCTCGACGGGCACCGCCATCATCTTTCTTCATCTCCTGGCTCTTCAATCACCAGGAGCAGTGCTGTACTCTTGCAAATGTGTGAGAGTACAAAACACTGATGTCATGGATGATCCTGCAAGACTGCAGGATCCCCCATAGATATCGCCTGACAATGAACAAGACAATGCCTTTTCCCCACAGCTATCACTAGCTACAGCAGGGGAAATGAAAGAAACTTGACAGTTGTAGCTCTCACACTTTTGCGAAGTAGAGGAAAAATCCAAAAGATAAGAGAGTCCCTCCTTTGCCTTATGTATGTTAGAAGAAAAAGATCAGAAACGAATAAAATAAATAAAAGAATTAGGAGTGAGTAAGAGAAGAGAAATCGATTGAAGAACAATATGTTTTTGGTGACAGAGCCCCTTAAACTATAGAAATAATACTGTTAACAATATACAGTCCTAGCTGATAATTTTGTATTTATTTTTAGGATTGCCTTTCAAAGGATATTCATTTTATTATAAAGCTCTGTTCTTCAACATAAAAAGTATATATATTTTTTTTTTAAATGCAACAACTCTTTAATCACAACTTGTCGACTGTGTCTTACCTGGACAAGTTCTCTATATGCGGTCTTTGCAAGGTTAAAGGGGACCAGGAGATTAGATGCCAAGAAGTACAACACTTCAAGTCCAGTGAAAATCATGGCAAACTTATTAAGGACGACGATAGTTTCAATAGGGACCAGGCAGAGGCGCGCCAACAGCGGGACTATGTGAGCCGAGAATAGCCATATCTGTTTAGTCTTCATCACACAAGAGCAGAGCGTACAAACCACCAACTGTCCTGTAATATATGCACATATTATGGTGATGAACAAAATATTATACATCAATACATAAATAAAAACTAAAACAAAAAATTTGGTCTAAGTAACTTGATATACTGAACATGAAAAATAATGTTTGCTGCTTTCATAGCAACTTTTGCAATGCATTTACATTTGCTATAAATGTTTAAGATGCTTAACTGGTTTTCCAAATATAGCACATTAGTCATGTGCTGGCACCATTTGACTGCCCCTTCACATGATTTGCAGTTAAAAGCTGCCAGCATTCAGCAATCCAGTGCAACCTTCTATTCACTTAACAGATAGAGATAGAGATATATATATATATATATATATATAATAATACAATCGAGATCTGATAATGAGAGTTGATCAGTTCCACATGAAATTGTTAAATACCCTTTTGTTAGACGAGCACTGCAGGGCGTAGATTACTTTAACTCATGCAGTATTGAGAGGTCTAAGGCAGCAAGTCATCTAACTAGTCCATTTTTAAGGGAATCAGAAAGAGCAGTTAAACACTGTGTGTGTGTGATACAGGGCTGGCCTGACCGTAGACCACGATGGAGCCACGGTTTCAGGGGGCACTCTGACAGGGGCAGCATTTTGCCGCCCCTGTCATTATGTAATCAAATAATAGCCATTTGGGGAAAGCCTTTGCTTTTCACGATCAGCCACACTGCCAGGGCGGGAAGTGAGACTGCCCCAAATTCTAATACGTCAGGGGCGTCGTGAGGAGGGTGGAGGGGTTGCCCGGGCACTCCGTGTTATGGGAAGGTTCAGCACTGAAGTTCCGGCGCATTACCTGCAGGGCGAGCCGGAACTTCAGTGCTCACTTTGCTTTCAGGTGCTGTGGCAGGGCTACTCCTGTTGCTGTAGGACGGGCAGAGCAGCAGAAACCCACTCCGTGTCTGGCATGCTGACCACCCACAGGGCAGCACACACACCGCAGGAAAGAGCTCCCTAATGCAGGAGCCGGCATACAGGAGTCAGGCAGCAGCTGTGGGGACGTGAGGAGCAGGAGTAAGGGTAAGTTTCATGTGCACAGTGTGTTACACATAGTAAGCCACACACACTGCATCCCCAGCACACACACACACACACACACACACACACTGCATCCCCAGCACACGCGCACACACGCACACACTGCATCCCCAGCACACGCTACACACACGCACACACTGTATCCCAGCACACGCCAAGACACACGCACACACACTGCATCCCTGGGTAGCACACGCCAAGATACACACGCATTACTACCGTATCCCCGGGAAGTACACGCTGCTATTACACGCGACACACTGCATCCCCAGCACACACACACACGCACACACGCACACACTGCATCCCAGCACACACACACGCATTACACGCTGCTGCATCCAGTACACACATCAGCATTAACACGCTGCTGCATCCCCAGCACACACACACACACGCTACTGCATCCCCTATAGCACACACACACACACGCCATCCCCAGCACACACACACACGCTGTATCCCTTAGCAGACACACGCTGCTGCATCCCTTAGCACACACACGCCATGTAACCCCTAGCACACACATGCATCCCCTATACACACACACACGCTGGCTGCATCCAGCGCACACACACACACGCTGCATCCCCAGCACACACACACACACACACGCCACAACCCCCAGCACACACACACACAATACTCAGCTGCATCCCCAGCACATACACACACACGCCAGCTGCATCCCCAGCACACACACGCCAGCTGTAATCCCTGTGCACACACACACACTGCATCCCCAGCACACACACACACTGCATCCCCAGCACACACACACACTGCATCCCCAGCACACACACACACACTGCATCCCCAGCACGCGGGCGCACGGACTGCATCCCCCAGCCCTGCATGCGGTCACATATCCCTTTAAACCCTACCTCCTAACCTGCAGTGATCAATAAAATATATGCACATGTACTCACAGAGAAGCTGAGAGTTGAAGTTCAGCTAACCATTTTTAGGAGTAGAAAGCTGATAAGTGAAAAAAACAGGCACTTTGATCTGGAGATTATTTAAAACGATTTGCATTTATACTAGTGACAGTCATATGTCTTTTCTATATTTAAAGAGCTTCCTGGAGTAGGCAGAGTTCAAAGTTGATAGAGAAAAAGGGACTCCTTTCCCTATCCAGTAATTATTTTCCCCACAATGTATTCCCAATAAAACCCTTATTAGTTAATTCTATTCAAATCTTCCAATTTTATAAGGAAAATACTCAGATTTCTTATGTGTATAAACTAAGCTATTCAACCATACCAAACATACACGATCCAGTATATGTTACTTGCACATTGCATAGTCATTTCTATATGCTTTCAAATACATAAAAGATAGACAGGAAGCACAGAAATGTAACTCACCTACTAGTGCCGTAATAAATCTATTCATAGACAGTGGCTCTAAATGCATTGGACCTTCATAGCCAGATTCCAACTCACTCCGGACATAATCCCTGAGATACAAAGAAATTAAGTTTTAATGAATACCAACACATGGTCTTCAATTTAAGCAGGATCATTCATGCATATTCTCTACAAAATATTATGGTATTTATATTATACCAAGAACTGCCAAAGTGTACCCCTAATTAGCTGAAATGGAAACATTCTCCAACTCCAAGCACTATAGCCACTAATGCGTACTGTTGTCTTTATTTTTCCATGAGTGTGCATACACCAACCTCACGCAAGTAGTCAAATCTTACCTGGATTGCACAGTTCATCTCCTCTATGAAAGACGTTCATTCTCTTGAGATAAGCCGACAGATGAAAGGCTTAGTGCATTGGCTGAAAGTGATCAAGTGATGCGCTCAGCCAATAAGCTGGTTCTGCTTGGCAGGGTTCAACTCATGGGAGCTTACAGGTGCTCCACGCACGTGCTTCTGGCTCTCAGTGTAGTTAGACACCAGTGCTCAGCAGACCACAGGTAAGTTGTTTAACTGTTAAGCAGTTTGACTACTTACAATGGAAAGAGAAGGTTGGGCAGGGCACTTTGTTACCTCTATATACTCAGGTGCTTTGAATGTTCCTTTAAGCTTGGTATTTTGGCCTTAAATTTGTAAACTTCTTGTAATTTGCTCCATTATATAATTTTATCCACTTAGTGAATAAACATTACTGAACGGTTTATACGGTCCATATCAAAATTCCTGGTTACATTGGTTGATTACAGCGCAGAGAGGATATCCCTTTTTTCCTACAAGGTTGGGCAGGGGATTGTCTTGGGCAAAAAACAGTAAGGTTGGGAATTTCTAAAATTCCCAGAGTTGAGTGGATACCCAATACCGTGTATGCATATCTAGAGAAAAAAAAAAAAAAAAGCTAAGCCCAGGGGAATCCGTATACAGAAGTAAAAAAACAGAAACCAATCTGTCTGGAAAGCTTCTATGCAAGTGTACAAATGTCACTTGGCAATATATGTTAAGTCATGGTTGCAGATCACGGATACAATGCATCTACTCTCTTTACACTGTTCTGTAAACAGCAATCTCTACTAGAATGTGTGTTACTTGCAGTAGGATTAATTTCAATACATTTTCTTCCTAAAGATTATGGAATCGGTTACAAAGTGGTGAAGAATATGAGAGTGACAACTCAAATGTTACAGTGTTAAGCCTCATGAGTAGGATTCTCTTTAGGAGAAAGTTGAAAGTTTGACAACTTACATCATGCTGTCACCACAATATGATCTTTAACGACCTTATTCCAGCATGGAATTTCCTTTTTGTTTCTTGCAGCCCTGCATTTGATAATAGAAAGGAAGTTCATTTTGGAATAGAATCTTTAAAGATCAGATTGTAATGACGACAGACCATAAGTGGTTAAAAAGGTACTCACCCATATATGAAAAAAACTCTTAGCTACTTTGATGCGCATGTGTAATTCTTGCCCCCCCGCCCCCATTCTAAATTTAGTTCTTGCACTTCGATCTAGAATCATGACATTCTGTTGCTTCTTATGTTAAATCGTCAGATCTTTTTTCTGGACTACAGCAGCTTATGTAATGTAGCATACCTGGAGATCTGATGTCCCGTATAAAGCAGCAGAGCAGTTACCATATAGAGGTATAGTTTAGCCAGATGTTGTCGGGGTAAAGTCAGAAGCACGACACTCAGGATGTAACCTGTAAGAAAAGGAAGAATTTATTATGGAACTTGGAAACAATCTAAAACATAACTCATGAAAGAGTACTGCATTTAACCTAATTCAGTGTACTAAATAATCCATTAAAAATCAAAGTACTGCAGCAACATTCTTTGTAAATAATGCGGTCTCTGCTTGCTCAGAGTAGGACAATAGAAGCTTTGAACCTAAATAATTTGCTGTATTTTTGGTGCATGTTTAATTTCACAAAATATTCAAAAATAAATCATTTGCAGCATTTTATTCATAAACCATTCTTCTAAACCACATCCCTCAGTCTAAAATACTTCCCTTCTTGCTGGTCGCTAACAAGAGGTACCTTATGTTATAGCTTCATAAGCCCACCCTCCTGGTCACCATGCCATCAGCAAGCACAGTCTACTTGCATAGGTACAATTCTTGTAAAGGAAGTAGAAGTCACATAAACTCTAGGTCTTGATGCTATGGTTGTGCACAGGGGTTTTTTTTTTTTTTTTTTATCTGTTCGAGCCCCCAAGAACCAAACAGTGTGAAGATAAAAAGGCAGTTTGACATTGTTAAAAGTGTTTGTTATTTCATGTATACACTAGTGATTGTTTCATTTCTAATGCCCAATCTGTGTTCAAAACACTAGTAGTGCAGGATTTAACATTTTCAACAGCTCAGACTCTGTGGATCAAAATGAGAAGCTCCTGGCCATGCTACTTCCTAGTAAAAAGAGATTATTATAATATTTAAATAGCGCCAACAAATTCCGTAGTGCTTTACAATGGGTGGACTAACAAACATGTAACTGTAACCAGACAAGTTTGACACACAGAAACAGAGGGGCTGAGGGCCCTGCTCAATGAGCTTAAATGCTAGAGGAAATGGGGTATTGACGCAAAAGGTAAAGGAAGTATTAGGGAAGTGGATTGGTAGAATAGTATTTAATATAGACAGTGTGGGTTTGGAGCCACTAAGTTTAATTGATATGCTTTTGTGAAAAAGTGATTTTTTTAAAATCATTTTTTGAAGGAGTGGAGACTTGGTGAACGTCTAGGAATTGTGCAGCCCTACAGAAGTCTTGAATGCGAGCATCAGAGGTGGGAGCACGAGTAGAAGATAGACGCAGGTCTTCGGCAGAGTGTAGGGGCCTAGATGAGACAGAGATCAAAGCAACTTCAAATATACACTGCTACTTTACTATAAATTAAATAGTGCCTTATATTTTTTTCATAATATTTGCTATTTGCATATAAAATACAGAGGGGGGGGAGAGAGAGAGAGAGAGGGACACACTTTTATTTCCTATATATGTAAAATATATTCTAATTAAAAGCATTTTATAATATATCATACATATATATTTCATTATAAGTGTATTTTGAGATATGTGTGTATATATATCTCAAAGTACACTTATAATGAAATCATATATATGCATTATATATGTATAATATATTTTAAAATGGTTTAATTATTTTATGATATATTATACATATATATGTCCTGCCTGCAACATCCTCCAGCATGACCGGTTTGGCAGTGTCCGTAATGGTGTGGGGTAGCATTTCTTTGGGGGGACAGCCCTCCATGTGCTCGCCAGAGGTAGTCTGACTGCCATTAGGTACCGAGATGAGATCCTCAGACCCCTTGTGAGACCACATGCTGGTGCGGTTGGCCCTGGGTTCCTCCTAATGCAAGACAGTGCTAGACCTCATGTGGCTGGAGTGTGTCAGCAGTTCCTGCAAGACGAAGGCACTGATGCTATGGACTGGCCCACCCGCTCCCCAGAAATGAATCCAATTGAGCACATCTGGGACATCATGTCTCGCTCCATCCACCAACGTCACGTTGCACCACAGACTGTCCAGGAGTTGGCGGATGCTTTAGTCCAAGTCTGGGAAGAGATCCCTCATGAGGCCATCCGCCACCTCATCAGGAGCATGCACAGGCGTTGTAGGGAGGTCATACAGGCACGTGGAGGCCACACACACTACGGAGACTCATTTTGACTTGTTTTAAGGACATTACATCAAAGTTGGATCAGCCTGTAGTGTGTTCTTCCACTTTAATTTTGAGTGTGACTCCAAATCCAGACCTCCATGGGTTGAAAAATTTGATTTCCATTTTTTAATTTTTGTGTGATTTTGTTGTCAGCACATTCAACTTTGTAAAGAACAAAAGTATTTCAGAAGAATATTTAATTCATTCAGATCTAGGATGTGTTATTTTTGTGCTCCCTTTATTTTTTTGAGCAGTGTATATAAGGATAGAAGAACCTAAACAATGGGTTAGACGAGGGTTACAGAGGTAATAAAGAGTATAACCATAGAAATTGAACCATGAAAAAGAATAGTGTGAACTAAGGGAGCCAACCTACATCACAAATAACCTCTTAAGTAAAAATCAATACAAGATAATAAACTTTAGTAAGCAAAACTATATACACAAAAATTAAATAACGTGTAAACGTACATATGTATAAATTAAAAAAAATACACTTAGTATGATGTTATATACAAGAGATATACAGATATATTGAGAATATATATAAATTTTTAAATTTTTTATTTTTTTATAATTTATACTTTTTTTTACCAACAGGGGGACTGCCTGTCAGTTCAGGCAGTCCCCCCGTTGGCAGCACTATGGACACCTATGGGGCCATGTGACCGCTCTTTTAGAGCGGTCACATGGCCCCTGGGGGTCCTAAATTGGAGAGGGGGGACTCTCTGGGCTCAGTCCAGAGAGTCCCCCCCCCAAAGAAAAAGACCCATCGGCGGCGGGGGAACGCAGCGATTTGTAAGTACATGGGAGTGGGAGGGAGTGTAGGGATTAATTTTTTTTAAATTGAATTGTTTTTAAATAATTTTTTGCCTGAAGGCTTCCAATGCTCTGTCTAAATACTGGGCTCCACGTCGAGCAACCGGGAAGTGATCGCTCCAGGGGGAACGATCACCCGGTAATCTCCGGTGGCCCTCGGCAGTGAAGGGGGCATTACAGCAATGCCTCAACATTGAGGCATCACTGTAATACCATTAGAGCTGCTGGAAGCGATCATGATCGCTTCCAGAACTTTAATTACATACGGACGTATCAGGTATGTCCTCGGTCCTTAAGGACCATTTTTGTCGGACGTACCTGATACGTCAGCAGTCAGGGAGGGGTTAATTACTACTTGTGCCCCACTTTTTTTTTTTTAACATACACTTACAAGAATTGGAAGAATGCCCATAATGTAATCGCTCTATAGTTTTTAGCTCTTTACAAATATAGGTATCAGGTTTTTTTTTTCTTGAGAGTCCAATGCCAGATATCAGACAGGCAATGGTGCTATGGTTCAGAAAAAAAAAAAAAAAGTGCAGAAAGTTAATAAATGGTATATCAACTGCAGCTCAAAGGAATACTATAGGGCCAGGAACACAAATGTGTTCCTGACCAAATAGTTTTAAAATCACCATCCACCCCCTCCCCCCTCGAAAAATAGCAAAATCTTACTTTTATTCTAATCTGCAGCTGCTGGCTTTGCCCCTGATCTGCCTGCTTGGCTGACATCAGAAGTGAACCTCTAAGCTAATCACAATGATTTCCCATAAGATTGGCTGAGACTGTCAAGGAGGCAGATCAGGGGCAGAGTCAGCACAAGCCAAACACAGTCCTGGCCAATCAGCATCTCCTCATAGAGATACTTTGAATCAATACATCTCTATGAGGAAAGTTCAGTGACTCCAGGCAGAGGGTGGAGACACTGAATGGTGCTGCACACTGTGCAGCACTGGCCCAGGAAGCACCTCTAGCAGCCATCTGTGGAGTGGCGAGTGGAGGTATTCCAAGGCTGTAATGTAAACACTGCATTTTCTCTGAAAAGATGGCGTTTACTGCAAAAAGCCTGAAGTGAATGATTATACTCCCAGAACAAATAAGCTGTAGTTGTTCTGGTGACTATAGTGTCCCTTTAAGGTTTCTGTTATCTATATAAAGTGATACCATAGAATAGTGGAACACATTGCAGTGGCCCAGTTCTAATGTAACGATAACTTCTGTTAGCCACAGCTGTGCAAACACTTTCTTTTAGGATGCTTAGGGAGCATTAGGGGGACTTAATCCATCTGATCATTACCCCAAACCAATCAATTTCAATTTAAAAAAAAAAAAAAAGTGTAAGGTTGACTTTAAAGTTATGGTATTATCTAAAAATGAAAACCGATAACATAACAGACATCTGAAAAACTGTGGAGGCTGTGATGAGTACTTAAGATCGGCATTTTATAACTGTTAAGTGATAAACTAAAGATGCTTGGTGATTAAAAAATTTAACTTTCAGACATTTTTGTGATTGCATATATTATTCTTAACATTTATCCTGAATTCATGCAAATGGAGATCAATTGCTTATTAACAACTTCCTTTAAGCAAGAAATATAAGTTTGTGAAAAGTGCATATTTTGAGCATTAGAGAGCCATTTTACCATAAACACTTTATGTGTGTTTGATAGTTACACAACTAGGAATTCATAGAATTTTTGGGTGGTACCGACAAGCACAATTAAAGTGATAGTCCAGAATGAATACTGTATTGCAAATTATATTCCTTCATTTGCTGGAAATGCCCAGGGTTTGCAGCTTCTTTAGGGAGATCTCATGAACAGGAGGCTGTTCACCTGTCCTGATGAACCCAGATTAGGGAGTATATTCAAGTAGCTTCATGCATATGCTGTTGGACCTAAGCAGACTGTGTATAAGACACGATCTAGACTTAACAAGCAATATCACAACCCTGTCACTTAATATTGAATCCAAATGTAACAGCAAAGGTGGTGAATCAGCCCACAAGCTGAATATAAAAATAAAAAACACACAAACACTTGCACCTTAGCTCCATCTGTTTTTTAACTTTCTGCATAAGGGTTTACGTGAAAACACAGGAAGCTGTACTTTTCTTAAAAATCATATTCATTAACTGTGATTAGTAGAAGCAGGGAGAGGTACCTGGAAGACCCCAGGTAAGAAATCAAACCTTTCTTGAAAATGGTTTTACTACTTACAATGGGTGGGGAATGATACCATGGCACAACATTTAAGGTTTTGATGCTCAGACTGTCCCTTTAAGGGTGCTTTAGAGGTCAGTTTGTGAGTGTATACACAAACAAATGTACATATAGTTCAAACGTCTGACTCACCAAAACACACATATACATACATTTACACACACTACAAATATAAAAAATATACTTGTGTGTGTATTTATATATTGAGATTTGAGTGAATATATATATATATATATATATATATATATATATATATATATATATATATATATATATATATATATTTAAAAAAAATATATATAAATATATATAATAAAAAAAAAGCTTTATAGCGTAGTATGCACATCATTGCTCAATGTACTTTTAACCCAAACGGTTTTTATAAGCCAAAAAACTTATGTTCTCTCACATCCCTGCTAGTCATGAGTTGAGAATTGGTTAGACTATCAAACACTGGCAAAACACTGCTTGCACCTGTGGCCTTATTTGAACTACATGAAGTTTAAAGCACCTGGATCTAGCAGGCTTGGCGCTGTGGGAGCACTTATGAAATGGAACATTCCAAACAACTGCAAGTGGATTTACTGTACTACATACGATACACTGTAAACAAGCACACATATTTTTATATTTAAACCCATCTACATCAGTAAACCACCCCATCCCCCAAAGAAAAGAAATAGAATAAAACAGGATGTGTAGAGCTGCTGAATAGCCAGGTAGCAGCCAAGAGAGAATTTATCAACTGATGTTAGGAGTAGAAGAGGCAGTCATAATCTTAGGTTGACCCTTTTAAGAATTTTAAAAAACGGTGGGGGGGGGGGGGCAAACTTCAGATGGGCCTGCACCTGAGCTTTCTTGAGCAGGAGGGACCTTGAGGGCGCTGTAGGATTTCAGCCACCGACGTAATGTGTTACCAATTGTTTTCTTGGTAACTATGGTCCCAGCTGCCTTGAGATCACTGACAAGATCCTCTCGTGTAGTTCTGGGCTGATTCCTTACTGATCTTATGATAACTGAAACTCCACAAGGTGAGATCTTGCATGGAGTACCAGACCAAGGGAGACTGGCAGTTATTTTGTGTTTCTTCCTTCTCAGCAAGCTGCTTAGCGATGGTCTTGTAACCCATTTCAGCCTTGTGTAGGTCTACAATCTTATCTCTGACATCCTTGGACAGCTCTTTGGTCTTGGCCATGGTGGAGAGTTTGGAATCTAATTGATTGCTTCTATGGACAGGTGTTTTTTATACAGGTAACGAGCGGAGATTAGCAGCACTGGCTTTTATAAGACTACTTACAATCACCTCTCTCAGGAAACAAACATGAGGATTCAGTTCCACCATATAACACTGGTTATTTCCCTGGGCATAGGAAATGGACCTAGTAAAAATTAACTGAACATATATACTGAAATCAGACAGGTGGCCTTTAGTTCCTTTTCTGCCAACACAGTAAAGAAGATGGGCAAGGTAAAATTCAAAACACAGATCCCACAAACAGTCAGGGAATGGGTCAAGCCACTAAGTTGACAGTCAATTATTATTTCGATGCAATTAGAGATGGATTTAATACATTTCCCACTTTATTCAGGCCTATCCGCTTGTTGGTTTCAGCATACCACAGACAACCCGCATGCACACATATTGTTTATTCTTAATCCTTTCATGCACCTCTGGTCCCCGATCACACATGAGAAAATAATTGTTGAAGTGATTATCCTGCCTATTTCTAACACCAGGAAGCCCACCCACCACTCCCTATAAAAATAAGTTATTTTCTGTAGGTGGCCCCTCTTTATTCAGATCAACACGTTTATCAGTTTTGGCACACCACAACTAACTTGTAAACAAACCATATTATTTACATATATGTACTTACACAGAAGGAAATGTGTAAAAGACACGTGTTGGTAATTTGTCATCAATGTAATTTTTTTCGGCAAACAATATCACCTTCACAGCTTTTAAATTACATGTAGAAAAAGGGGATGAATAGCCACTTCTTTTAATCTTACTAGCAGCCTCATTTTACATATCTAAAGAATACTTAAGAAGGATATTTTATACTTCACACGCTGACATTCTGACTACGATTAATGGGGTTTGAACCAATTTACTCAATAAAATAAGGAGGTAACATAAGTAACAGAAAATACAAAAAGAATATTCTGAAAAAAAACCAAAAAAAAACTTACCAACATAATGCATATTAAGAGCAAGGTACTTGTACTGAAAGAGTGGGTTGTTGTTCAGGTTACTTCTCTGGATCTGCTGAAAGAAGGAGCTTACATCCCATCGATACAAGACATCTAAGAGCATGATGCTTGGTACACGAAGTGCCACATTAAGCATGGCTTCCAATTTCTCTTTTGCCCCCATGTTTCCCTTAGTAATAAGTTCAAATCAACCTAGAAAATTGACAAGAAAAATAGTGATGTCACAAAACTATCAAAAATAAAAGGCACCGTAATTGGCACAAATTGTATAGATCTACATGTCTAGCCAGTTCTAGTTCTCCATGTTAATCATTCTGCATTACCATTATTTCAAGCTTCCAGGAAAAAATGACACTAAATGCTGCAGCCAGGTTACGAAGTAGATATCCACAAACAACACAAAACTTCGGGATACGGCTGAAAATGAATCTAAAAGGAACATAAAAATTATACAAAATAGTGAAGTACAATTAACACACTTTTATGCGCTGTATATAGATGCACTCACAGAATTGTGTAGAATATATCGCTCATAGGGTGCCTCCCTCGATTGAAATGGGGGGCTAGTAATCTATAATTAAAAGAAAAACGGTATGGTTTAATTATATTCTATATTGATGGTGATTATTCACCTTTTATCAATAAAAGCACTTTTTTTCCTACCATTGCCCGTTTGGAGTCCTGAGCATTATTAAGGATTCTCACAAGGAGCCAGGGGATTACTAGCCCCCCATTTCAATCGGGGGAGGCACCCTATGAGCGATATATTCTACACAATTCTGTGAGTGCATCTATATACAGCGCATAAAAGTGTGTTAATTGTACTTCACTATTTTGTATATTTTTATGTTCCTTTTAGATTCATTTTCAGCCGTATCCCGAAGTTTTGTGTTGTTTGTGGTTATCTATATATGAAAAGGTCGTCTTCTTTGGGTAACGATCTTGGGAGGCTGCATTATAACATTTAAGTTAAGTATTTGTACATATTTCACTACGGTTACTATCTATAGTAGTGTTTATATTGTTTTGTACGAAGTAGATATGTATCTCGTTACACACTACTAACCAACCTCCTTTTTCTGCACCAACCGAGAATAAGAAATATGCCAAAAAAAAACAAAAACATTTAGAATCTTTTTCAAGGAACTCTTGGTCCATTTGATCATCAAGTTCTTCCTTCTTTTCTCCCTCATCCTTCCTTCCTCTTCTCTCTCATACATCCGCCATCCTTCCTTCCCCTGCTCTCTCATACATCCGCCATCCTTCCTTCCCCTGCTCTCTCATACATCCGCCATCCTTCCTTCCCCTGCTCTCTCATACCTCCCCCATCCTTCCTTCCCCTGCTCTCTCATACCTCCCCCATCCTTCCTTCCCCTGCTCGCTCATACCTCCCCCATCCTTCCTTCCCCTGCTCGCTCATACCTCCCCCATCCTTCCTTCCCCTGCTCTCTCATACCTCCCCAATCCTACCCCCTGCTCTCTCATACCTCCCCCATCCTTCCGTCCCCTGCTTGCTAATACCTCCCCCTTCCTTCCCCCTGCTCTCTCGTACCTCCTGTGACGTATAGGACCATGTGTGGAGCTGGTCAGAACTTTAACACAGTAGCTTTTCCCCTATACTGCATAGATCTGAGCGCTATCTGGAGAGCTTGGGTGCTCAGATCAGGGCTATTTGGGGATGTATGTTATGTGGAGTTACTGTATATTTTTATGATGTTTTGGATTATTTTTATGTTTTTACCTCTCTGTTCCTGGGAGAAAATTTGTGTAAGCTATATATTTGCTGCATAAGAACTGAGAACAGAGACCATTCGTGTGGTTTCCTTCACTAAAATGAATTAATCGTGCATTTGGCCATAATCATTCATTTACCGAATATTCAGTTGAACGACCGACCACCCAGCACAGGAGCGTGGCACCAATTAACCCTACTGACCTGTGCAAATCGCAAACACCTCAACATTCTAATGGTTTATCAGGGTGGTCAGCATTCGTTTGTATGAACACATGGCAGCGGCCATTTTGTTTAGTCGAACGCACTCACTGGTGTTTGGTCGTCGACTGCGTGGAACGGATTGCGGCCACCTTTTTCCATAAACACCGCTGAACTTCCACCTTCAGTGCGTTCAACTAGAAACATACGAACAAAGTGCTAATTCGTGGGTTTCTTCATACGAGCAATCTACATCCAATGAGGGGAGGCACGAACAGTTCCGTTCGTGCATTTTACAGCTAATACAACAGGAAAATAGACCGACCGCCGGGACTGAAATCATGGAACTATTTTGGGCATACAAACATACGAAGTCGGTCATATCCACATTTTTACTAACTTCTGAACCCCTGGTCCAATTTGTGCCATTTTTGGATATATTGGATATATTGTTCCCATGAATGGATTGATTATGAAAATGTAACTTTTGTTGAAATCCCATGCATAGTTTTGAAGTTATAATAAGTGTGAAAAAGTATATTTTTTAGCTTTGAGATAGTTGAGCTGATACAAAGATTAACTCAATTATCTCCCAAGCAGAGGGGAGGAATGTACTGTAATTACTGGGTGTGTTTCTATTATAACATTGTGCCTGATTGGCTGCTATACTTGCATTGTTGGTGCCCCACATGGTCCAGTGGGTGGTGACAATACTGTAAAATCCTGCATAAAAGCAGCAATAAACGCTCAGTGGAGTCATTTCTACTTCACCCTTCAAAACGTAGCCTTGCCTCGTTCTTGAAAGGGAACCTGCCCAGCGTAATCACTAGCTCTTTTAAGAGCTCTGCCTTACTCTCTACTTGGATCCAGCGGATGGGATAAAGCAACTCCACAGCATCTTGCCAGGAAGAAGGACGTCTCCAACGGCTGATACCCCTTCTCCCATTGGGGTAGCCGTTACAATTTGCTTACCGGTCTTTAACTCAATTCTCTCCCAGGCACAGAGATCTTTGGGAGGGGCTTGCATTGTATTTTGTGGAGACACCATGCTTGGGGTTGTGCATATAAGCAGGCAACTTGGTCATAATAAAGCAGTTCCTTTTCACCCTTCACTCAGTCTGGGCTAGTGTTTGGGTGGATCAGCTATACTCTCTGCAGGAGAGCTTAATCCCTTGAAGCTTTACCCAGGACCCTGTTCCAGGGGAGGAAGCGACATTGAGACCCCAGCCAAGCTGCGGCGGCTAGGGGCTGAAGCACTCCTGTGTCTTGGTGGAGAGCTAGGAAGCGAGCTTTACGGAGGTACCCAGTCAGGGTGCCAGGTGGTCCATCACACTTCCCCCATCCTTCCTTCCCCTGCTCTCTCATACCTCCCCCCTCAACCTCCCTTCCCATGCACTCTCATTTCTCCCCCATTTCTCTTTAACCTGCTGTCTCCTGGCTAATTACCATTCGTCCCTCACTCTCTCCTGCTTTAACACCTATTTTTAAAACAACCCTTCTGTAGGTAGTATCTTGAGCAGCCCTGATAAAAGAAGAAAAGAACACACTTCTATCAATCAACCTAGATTAGGTTCTCGATGTTATGCTTAATAATGTTATTGGATTTATAAAAAAAAAAAAACTTCCACCATCTAGGGCAACACACGTCATTTTTAAATATAAAAAGTGGTAATATTACCCACACTATCTGTTCAATGAATATTGTCAAATACGACTTTCTGCGCTGTTGTGTATTGTTAACATGTCTTTCAAGCCACGAACGTCAAATTAAAGCATTAAAAAAAAAAAAAAATGACCCAAGTGCATACAAATAAATGATAACATATGCAATACTCTAAAAAAATAAAAATGTTATTTTTTATATTAATGGCACAGTTGAGCTGAAACATGAGCTGAGATTTAACAGTAGTACAACATTAAAAGGTTTCTGTTTATTCTCATAAGTATTACAGCTTTCAAAGCCAGAGAGTTTTTACAGCAAGATTTTCTAGGAGGAGTTCAGTTGTCTGCATTATATCCAGGCACCACTTGTAGTACTTTTATATGCAGAGAGAAGCTATACTTTTCCCCACCCCATCATACATTTGAATGAAGTGACAGACTTATAGCTGCAGTGATTATTCAAAAATTGTTGCAGTTACAATACAGTATGTACAGAGGATCCCATTGCATATAAACTTGACAGTGACTACAGATTTCTACAAACTATAAAGGCAAAAAAAAAAAATTATATATATATATATATATATATATATATATATATATATATATTTAATTTTCTCTATATTTAACAAATATGTATTTGTAAGGTGTGTATCCTGCAACTGGACACCTCTCCATATTAGCCTCTGTCAATCATTGTTAAAAGCTCTGTCCTTTGCACCTGGCAGTCAACTTAGAGAAGAGGAGAAATGAAAAGATATTTCTATTTCACAAGCTCCTTTCTCAAGTTCTGTCCTTGTCTGAACTGGTGTTTATATGTTGTTATTTGCTAAATCCTTAGTATGATTTTACAAGAAAACAGTGTCTTATTTAAAAAGTAAATACAGTTAAATGTCATTTTCAATGTTTTATTCAATGGTATAAATTCCCTGAGAAGTTACAGTTCCTCTTTAAAGAAACAAACTTCCGTTATAGGGAAACTCCACTGATCAAATAAAATAAATAAATCACTATTCAGTAGCTATATCTCCCCTGAAAAATTTAATTATGCATCTATCTATTGGAGTTATATTTAAAAACAGTTTGCATGAGCTGCATTTCTGCCTTTGCAAGCCCTCCATTTTTAACCTCGCCCAGACTTTCTGTGACTGTCCAATCACAGACTTCCTACTCTTCACAAAAAACACTTCAACAAGCTAAAATCTGGAGTGTCCCTTTTAGGTCAACTGGCATTTGTAACCCACATGGGCATATGGCCTAACAATAAATCACTTATTTAGAATCTGGAAATAAACGACCTGTAGCATGAGATTATACAGAGATATACTGCCTTAAATATTTGACTGTACTTTAAAAAAAATAAAAAATAAAAAAAAATATATATATATATATATATATATGTAAAAAGCAAATCTAGTTTGTTTTATTATTATATGGTACCTCTATATTGAGTATGCTCAGATTCACTGCTAAACATATGGTTTAAAATAAACCAGACAAAACAACATTCTCCACCTACCCTCCCCCCCTTCCAAAGGCACCATATTGCTAGTTTAGTGATTAATTAAACTCAAGCTGAGATTGTTAGAATATAAAAGCTAATTACATAAATGGTCTCAATTCACTAACAGCTATATCCAATAGACAACAATGTGAGGACCCACGCTATTTAATAAGTGTGCCATGGGCCATCCCAGGAAAAGTTGTAAAATTTACAGGGAAACCGGAACAAATATAATGTAGCTCAAGGGGTCAATCAGAGAAGACAAAAGATAGAGAATGCATGTAAATAAATCAAACCAAATTCAATAGGCATTGGAGCCGGCTTCCCCAAACTCCGGCCCCCCAGATGTTGCTGAACTACAACTCCCATGATTCTATGAATGAAATAGATAGGCTTAGATTCATGGAAGTTGCAGTTCAGCAACATCTGGAGGGCCGGTGTTTGGGGAAGCCTGCATTAGAGGGTAAAACTTAATTAAGTTAAGACGGGGGGGTGACATGATGAGAGGGCTTCCGATGGCCCTGCTTCGCTGCTGCCCTTCTATCTACACCACTTGTCCTTTCCCCGGCGGCTGCTGGAAGGAACTGTCAGCACACACTGGGGGTGCAGACAAAACAGCACATCTCTTACCGGAGCAACAGGGAATAGGATTCCCCCTCTCTGACCCAAGGTAAGCTTCAGGGAGGAGTGAATACACTTTTTTTTTCTGCAGCCCCTACGTCCCAACCCATACACTAGAGCCCCTAACCTCCCCTACAAAAGCCCCCTTACTCTTTACTACACTCCTAAGCCCCCACTACAGCCTTTAACACTTCTACTAAAGCCGCTTACTACACTACAGTCCCTACCTTCCAAAAGTAGCTCCTATCCCCCACTACAGTCCCTACCGCTACCTTCCACAGTCAATGGATATTTGTATGCTCCAAGTGGAGTTAGTGAGAGCAATCTAATGCTCATGCAAAGCCACTAATCGACGGCCTGAAGCTCGCTAATAGTGCGACCATCTCAAGTTAGTGTTGGCTCTGCTCACCAAGGAAAATTATTTTAAAGCTAAAAATTGTTATACTGGATATGAAATTATATAGAACAGTAAATATATATTTTTTTCTTTTAAAGAATTGCTAGGAATTCAAGATTTGGAAAATGTTTCTAACTTTGCTATTTTACACTAAATTTTGAAATCCACTTCTTCACTTTGACTTCCTTACAATTTTTACTTTAATGTTACTTTAACCCTTTGGGCATGGGGAGGTACCTTTTCTGTGTAAAACGTCCTATTGGGTACTACGCATAAGGTCCCCCCACTCCAACTGCATTAAAATCAATTTAAAAAGAAAAATTGATTCAGCGCCGGGTGAAGCTGCCGGTGCCGATTTCCATGCCCTGTCATCACGCCATAGTGGCTGCGCACGTTCCAATCACAGGCCTCTCTACTAGATCTATTGCCAGCTCTGCATGCGCTCTGGGCTGGTGCAGGGGAGTGGGAAGGAGGACGGAGAGTTTTTATTAAAAGGAAAATAAAATTCATGCAATGGAGGGAACACCCACAGGCAGGGAGAGGAGAGCGAGCTTTCCTTTTGCAGACACTCTGTCTGCAAGGGGAAGACTAACATCTGTTGTCTTGTGACAAAATATGCACAGAATTGACATTAGGCAGCCTTGAACAGAGTTCTGGGTTTCCATTGTCCCACGTACTGGGGGTGCAACTAGCCCCCAGCACACAATTACAAAAATCTCTGATTGTGCAGAGTTTCAAAATACTACCACCAAAACTACTTCAAATCACTGATGTGGTCCCAGTAAGCCTGAATAACCCTGCTTGCATCGGCTACAACCTTGGAGGACCTTAGTTATCCCCATCCCCTATCTTTTTGGTAAATTAGAGTGTAGGAGACCAGCCTACTTACTTTTGACAGATTGATTTAGGTCTTTTGGTGCAAAACAGCTACTTAAACTCAAAATGATCACCATCATGACATACTATTTGCAAAAAGATAGAGGTTTTTCATGTGGCTGTTTCAGCACTGATTTCTGGTTAATTTAGCATTACAGCCCCATATAATTGCCATTGGAAACATTTGTGACTTCCACTTTATCAAAGTCGCTGATGGCACAGGCAGTGGGTACCATAAAGAAACAATGTTTTGGGTTGAGTTTCCGTTAAACTGCTCTAAAACGGTTTGGAAGAAAACTGGGGGATGACGCACCATAACTACAGTTCACTAAAGTAGTTATGGTGCATATATTGTCCTCTTAATGCAAACAGAAATAGCCTTAAACACAACTTACTTTGGTGTCCAAAACTGTGTGTACACATTATTACAAGTTTTCATTTGTATGCAAATTGGAAATACAGTAACGATTTTTGAAAGTAAAATGCACCAGCAGAAGTGTACAATAGGAAAAAAAATGTTTAAATGCTGAGAACTACATTTTTTTTATACTTGATCGATGACCACGACTGTAACAACTCTCCACAATTTAGACATCAGACATGTGCATTTTAAGAAGACTTAAGGAAAGATCAACTTTTGGCTAAAGGAGAAGATTACAAGTTTGCCAAAATAACGCAGAGAAACAAGTAGTGCCAGACAGTCTTTAGTAAAGCAGTTCTTCTTTACAGGGTGCAATTTCAAACAAATAAAAACAACTGTGGAATATAACCGGTATTACCTCACCCTCAGCAGACAAGCACACTAACCTTCAGATTACTTTATTATACCTTGAAGTATAATAAAAGGCACTTTCAAATTTGCATTAAAAAATATAAAATGTCATAATTTCTCCCACAGCACAAGATAGTTCCACTCAATAATTCTTACAAGTTACCACCTAGATAAGATAACGTCCTGCATAATTATTCACCCAAGTAGAATTCAAAGTGAATATCAAATTTATGGTTAACTGTAAAAATTCCCTAAGTCTATTATAATTCCAGTTCTTCTACTTTGGCCTTAAATGTAAAATTTACTTAGAATTCACACTTTTAAGAATAACCCTTTCAGACCTTATCTGTGCTCATGTCCATGTGCTAGTTATTCTTTACATAAACATTTGTTTTAATGCTAGAAGAATTACTTTAGTAGGCACCAGAGAAATAACGCTTGTGTTCTATATTCAAAAAGTGAAGTGCTATCAAAAACTTTTAAGAGCCTTGGTTTTGTTCATCCACACTAAAACAGCAACAGTCTCAAGTAATGTCAGGCAAACCTTTACATATTTCAAACACACTGTGGTTTGCTTATAAGGACAGTTCCGAAACAAAGAGAAAATAAAACTGGTTTTAATAGTAACCACACCATGTTGAGTTGCATTAGCAATTATGTTCAGGAGATTACTGCACACAGCGTGGTTCACAAAACTCAACCAGAATAATATCGCAGCCATAACGCAGCTGATATAAGCTTATTCAGCAGTACCACTTATCTTATACATTGGGTGAAACTATAGCCGGGGGCAGCACATATCCCATTAACCATGTGAGAGAAAAATAAAAGCAACACTATGGCACCATAACTTAATGAACAGTTAACCCCAAAGTCCAGTATCCAACACCCAATTCTTGAAAGAGGGAGCACTGGATAGGGGCGCCACTGATTGGATGATAGCGCCAGCAGACGCTCTCAGCCAATCAGCAGCTATCTGAGGCTTCCTCTTTCAAGAATATCAGCAAATGGACAGGTATCCGAGTGGTTGGCCGCAGGATACTGGTCTGTGGGGTTGTTATAAGTTGTTAAGGTGCTCAGAATGTTCCTTTAAGTGTTATTCCACTTTTTCCACACTAAACAAATGTCACAAGGCCACACAATGTTCCTTTAAAAAGTAAATTCCAATCCTTTTTGTCACTATATTATTTTTAAACTAAATTTGCTTTACAATGCAATTACTACAGATTTAAATCATGTTTAAAAAAAAAAAAAAAAAAAGTTTTCAATTTACCTGTAATCCAGCGCTAGACAAAGCTCCTGGCACTGATCTCAACACTCTATCCAATCTAAGGTTTCTCATAGAAAAGCCTTTAAAATGGCCTTTTTGCCAGCTCAGAGCGAATGCACGCAACATTCGTAGACACTCTTAGCCCCTGAGGGGAGAGGTTTCTAAAGTGATTTAATGCAAAGAGGGAGGGGAGAGCAAGCTTTCCCTTACAGACACGCTGCCTGCATGATAGAGGACGGTTACATCTGTCGTCATCACACACAAATGTAATATTTGCACAGAATTGACATTTGGCAGTCCGGAATAGAGTAACTAGCTCCTGGCAGAGAAATGCAAATATCTCTGAATGTACAGTGTCTGAAACAGAAATGCTTCAGACTCCTACCACCATGAACACTTCAAATCACTCAAGTGGTCATGGTTGTTTGAGAAAACCTTGGGTAAGTGGGGGGGGAGGCAACGATTACCGGGTGATTCGTGGGCATCTTTGTGGTCTGGACATTGAGTCTGATTGCTACCAAATGCATTTGTTTGCATAATGTGTAATGCATTATCTATAAGTACAACCCACTGTACTGGTTATGGTGCGCGGAATACCTTGGAGCCATCCCACTGTAACAAATTACAGGTTTTGTCCACGCTACAATCCTGTCTTCTACTGAAGGAAAAGCCAGATGACTCTACTCAGTTAAACATGGCTGATACAGGACTGTGCTCATTGGATGAGAGTGCACAGCAGGCCCTCCAAGACAATCAACACAGCCCAGTTGGATTCTCCTGCAGGAGAATCCTGGAAGCACGAGCTGCATCTGTAGGTGCCCAGCAAACCTGAAGTAAGTTATCAAACCAATATAAGTTTGTTAAATTACACCAGAGTGGGGAGAGGGCACTCCTAGCACAATAACTACTATAGTAGTTATGAATAATGTATTTATGAGCATTTCATAAAAAGAAAATATTTATGAAATGCTCATATTAACGGAGTTGGAATTGGACTGAGATTTAAATACAATAGTACAAAAAAAAAAAATGTGGATCCTTATTGTGTGTGCCTATCCGGATTTCACCCTGCATTGAAATTCCAACAAAGTCAAAATATAAAACAAAGTAGGGGTTATAGAAACATAGAATGTGACGGCAGATAAGAACCATTCGGCCCATCTAGACTGCCCAATTTTCTAAAAACTTTCATTAGTCCCTGGCCCTATCTTATAGTTAGGATAGCCTTATGCCTATCCCACTCATGCTTAAACTCCTTTACTGTGTTAACCTCTACCACTTCAGCTGGAAGGCTATTCCATGCATCAACTACCCTCTCAGTAAAGTAATACTTCCTGATATTATTTTTAAACCTTTGTCCCTCTAATTTAAGACTATGTCCTATTGTTGTGGTAGTTTTTCTTCTTTTAAATATGGTCTCCTCCTTTATGGTGTTGATTCCCTTTATGTATTTAAATGTTTCTATAATATCCCCCCTGTCTCCTCTTTCCTCCAAGCTATACATGTTAAGATCCTTTAACCCAGTGTTTACCAACAAAGAAGAAAAAAAACACCTTGGACACAACTGGGTAATCCTTAAATGCTGGACTGGTAGGTGTGCCTTGAGGACTGGGTTGGGAAACACTGCGTTAACCTTTCCTGGTAAGTTTTATCCCGCAATCCATGAACCAGTTTAGTAGCCCTTCTCTGAACCCTCTCTAAGGTATCAATATCCTTCTGAAGATACGGTCTCCAGTACTGTGTACAAAACTGCAAGTGAGGTCTCACCAGTGTTCTGTACAATGGCATGAGCACTTCCCTCTTTCTACTGCTAATACCTCACCCTATACAACCAAGCATTCTGCTAGAATTTCCTGCTGCTCTATTACATTGTCTGCCTATCTTTAAGTCATCAGAAACAATCACCCCTAAAACCCTTTACTCAGATGTTGAGGTTAGGACTCTATCAAATATTCTGTACTCTGCCCTTGGGTTTTTACGTCCAAGATGCATTATCTTGCACTTATCCACATTAAATGTCAGTTGCCACAATGCTGACCATTTTTCTAGTTTACCTAAATCATTTGCAATTTGGCTTATCCCTCCTGGAACATCAACCCTGTTACATATCTTAGTATCATCAGCAAAAAGACATACCATACCAATCAAGACCTTCTGCAATATCACTAATAAAAATATTAAAGAGAATGAATCCAAGTACAGATCCCTGAGGTACCCCACTGGTGACAAGTCCAAGCTTCTAATATATTCCATTAACAACCCTCTGTTGCCTGTCACTCAGGAACTGCCTTACCCATTCAACAATATTGGAATCCAAACTTAAATATTGCAGTTTATTGATAAGCCCTCTATGTGCAACAGTGTCAAAAGCCTTACTGAAATCTAGCAATGTCTACCGCACCACCCTGATCTATAATTTGTTACCCAATCAAAAAAAATCAATAAGATTAGTTTGGCATGATCTCCCTGAAGTAAACCCATGTTGTCTCTGATCTTGAAATCCATGTGTTTTTAGATGTTCAACAATGCTTTCCTCACTACTGAAGTAAGGCTTACTGGCCTATAGTTGCCTGACTCCTCCCTATTACCTTTCTTGTAAATGGGCACAACATTCGCTAACTTCCAATCTTCTGGGACTACTCCTGTTAACAATGATTGGTTAAATAAATCTGTTAATGGTTTTGCTAGTACATCACTAAGCTCTTTTAATAGCTTTGGGTGTATTCCATCAGGTCCCATTGACTTATTGGTCTTTACTTTTGACAGTTGAAATAGAACCTCTTACTTGGCAAAACTTGCCAAAGACTAAGGTTTCGCCATTAACTTTTGTCAAATTCCATAACAGTTATACATAACGAGCATTGATCTATGGGGGCTCCAGCACAGATTCTTCATAGACATCAATGCTACAGTAGATGGATTCTAGCAGATGAAGGGAGCTCAAGAAAGAAGAAGATCTACCCTATAAAATACGTAGATGTAAAAAACAGATACAATTCGTATCTTGTAATACCTATTTATTGGACTAACAGAATTTTTTTAAAGGGACACTATAGTCACCTGAACAACTTCAGCTTAATGAGGTTGTTCAGGTGAGAACTATAGCTCCCTGCAGCCTCTCATGTAAACACTGTATTTTCTGAGAAAATACAGTGTTTACATTGAAAGCTAGGAACACCTCGAGTTGCAGTCACTCAGAGTGAACCAGAGGGACTTCGGAGTTGATGGAGACATCCACTCAGACATCCACTCAGATCTGCTGTCAGCAGAGCACAGGGCAGCACTGTGCACAGCATCCTGTGATTCAGTATCTCTTCCCTCTGCATGCAGACACTGAACTTTCCTCATAGAGATTCATTCATTCAATTCATCTCTATGAGGAGATGGTGATTGGCCAGGGCTGTGTTTGAATCATGCTGGCTCTGCCTCTGATCTGCCTCTTTGTCAGTCTCAGACAATCCTATGGGGAAGCATTGTGATTGGATCAGGCTACCACGTCAGCAGACTGCCTTTTTTTCAGAGTCTAACAGCATGCAGATTTACAGCTTCTGGCTTGAATACAGTAAGATTTTTACTATATTTATGGAGGCACGAGGGGCCCAGGGGAGCTAGATGGTGGTGTTAACACTATAGGGTCATGAATACATGTTTGTGTTCCTGACCCTATAGTGATCCTTTAATACAAGCTTTTTCGAGAGTACCTCCCTTTCTCAAGTCTAAAGCTTTAGACTTGAGAAAGGGAGGTTCTCCCAAAAGCTCGTCATTAAAAATTTCTGCTAGTCCAATAAAAAAATTAAAAAATTTTTTTTTAAAAGTACCGGTATTACAATATACGAATTTTATCTGTTTTTTTTATATCTGCATCACTGGACTAATACGGCTACAATCTCTACTTGAACACTATAAAATATGCAAAGAACTCTGAAGGTGATTTAAGATTCTGTCCGTCCCAATGGAATCTGCATCATGGCAATAGATTCATAGAGAATTCCTAATTCACTGCAGATACTCAGTGTGACTCTCCAACAAATCACAAGTGTTATCTATCCTATGATCCCAAACTCTCTAGAGGCTTGCGTATGCATATACAACTCTAAAGCGAAGAAAGTAAATGAAAGCAAGAAACATGCTTTCCTCATTGAAATACCAAGCTGTTGGCACAAGGAATTTAATTTTAAAATAAAAATGCTATTGTTAAAATGAATCTATGTTAGCCAACCTGAAAAATAACCTTAAAGGGACACTATAGTCACCAAAACAAATTTAGCTTAATGAAGCAGTTTTGATGTGTAGATCATGCCGCTGCAGTCTCACTGCTCAATTCTCTGCCATTTGGGAGTTAAATCACCTTGTTTATATAGCCCTAGTTACACATACCTGCATGTGACTTTTACAGCCTTCCAACACTTCCTGCAAAGAGTAGTATGATGTATACACTTCATGTATTGAAAATACTGTTTAATTTAGAATTTATTATTTCCTGCTCTGTTAATAGCTTTCTAGACCCTGCAGGAGCCTCTTGTATGTAATTAAAGTTCAATTTACAGAGCAGGAAATAAAAACTTTTAAAGTAAGTTACATCTGATTGAAAGTGAAACCATTTCTTTTCATGCAGGCTATGTGAGTCACAGTCAGTGGAGGTGTGGCTACAGTTGCATAAACAGAAACAAAAGTGATTTAACTCCTAAATGGTGGAGAATTGAGCGTTGAGACTTCAGGGGCATGATCTATACACCAAAACTGCTTTATTAAGCCAAGGTTGTTTTGATGACTATAGTGTCCCTTTAACACTCATGTAAAGAGAAGGCCCACTTTCAAGAAAGCTTTTGATTTTGTACCAACTTTAGCACCAGTCACCTAATACTCTGACAATTAATGCTTAGTACCACCTTAGCTGGACACTCTTGTCACACCTAACCCATTAAAGGTCCTCCATGCCAAGTGATGCCATAATGGCATGCAAGAAGCACACACCAAGGGACTGACTCAGATACTATTAATGAAGTCAGCATGTTAATGGGGAGGGGAATTGACAGGAGTATTGGCATCAGAAAAGTCTTCCTTGTTAAATAAAAATGAATAAAACCACAAACCATACTTTACAGCATGGGTGTGCAGACTATCAGCTGTTATAGCGAGACACCCCATGATGTATCAATCAAGCAGTATTTCTTAATTATATGATAAGCTACCACCCCTAGTTTAATACAGAACTGTCAGCAATTGGAGTTTTCCTATGCTTTATCTCAACGTGACAATAACCCAATCACTGGCAGTCCCACTATACCAGATCTGCTAAAGAAGGGAGAGTTCATCGTTGGCCCTCAAGCTGTTGTGAACTACAATTCCCGTCATGCAGCAGGGTGTGCATCATAGGAGTAATAGTCCATAACACTACTCTAAGCCAGCCAGCCAGCTGGGTCACAGTGACAGCCTCTACCTGCCTTCACACCGCTCCTCAGGGCCTCGTACAGTCCATGTCGGGGCCTGCGCCCTCCTCCCCAGGAACGAACCCCTTCTTTAGGCACAGGGCTGTTTCAGGCACTCGCTCTCGGTCCCCGGTGTGTAACGGGGATTGCAGGCCACACCAGCGGCCCACGCAAGCCGACAGGCCGTCCGCGCACTCACACACAGAGCACAACCCGCCCACAATAACAAACACTGGACGTACTGCGCATGCTCGAGGGGTCCAACGCAGAGCGGTGCGTGCGCGCAGAAAGGCCACAGCGAAAGATACGACGCATGCGCAGTCCCGATAATCCTGCCAGGTCCGCCCACCTCCTGGCAGCTCGGAACGTTCATACAGGCAGGATTCCAGGCTGGGTCCACTCACACTGTGCGTCCAGCTGCTTCCAGGCAGAGATTGACTCTTTGTGTGTTAGTGTCTCCATCGTGGTTATCACGTTTATAATGAGCGCTTTTTATTCTTGCAGTGCACATTCTTAGTCTGGAAAGTGAGCAGTTACTGCGAAAAGAAAGCAGTAAAGTGTAATTTGTCAGGATTCTATAGTGAATTTTTTAATATTAGTCTGCTTTGAATCTATAGACATACTGGATCAATAGAAGATTATGTCGTCCCCCCAAAAACATCAACTGGTACTCTTAGGGTATTTACACTACTGTCATTTTTAGGGTATATATTATTAATGGTATTTAAATAGCGCCAACAATATTAAAAAAAGGGGAGATTTAAGAAAAATAAGACAATTACAAATAACTTATATGAATGATAAGTTGAAGAGGACCATGCTCAAACGAGCTTACAGTCTTTAGGAGGTGGGGTTTAAAAAGATAAAAGATAGCAATCAAACAATGTGAGGGTGAAGCACAGCTGGAGGAGAGAGGAGAGTAGAGTGCTCCCCCCCTTTTTTTTTTTTTAAATTCGTTCTTTAATGTAGAGTATTTTCATAGGTACAAAAAAAAAAAAAAAGAGTAGGGTCAGGGAACAATTTTCTTAATCCACAACTTTGGCATTATAGCATTATACAATTTTTCCTATTATTCTCAGTACCACTTTATACAGTCTCCAAAAGCTTGCTTTAAAACACTTTCACCAGGGTTACAATATCAGCGAGCTTATGGTTGGAGGGAGGGGATTCGTACCAGAGCAAATAGTGGGTAGTAGTATGTCATCTCATTGCACTTCTTTTTTTTTTTTTTTATATGGGTCAGAGTTGGTTGGTTAACCAGGGTGCCTCTTTTTAAATGATTGAAGACTAGGAGTGAGTTTGATGGCGGTAGACAGGCTATTCCATAGGAAGGGAACCGCCCATGAAAGTCCTGCAAACGTGAATTGGCCGTACTGGTGCGAGCAGCGGACAGGAAAAGGTCATGGGCAGAGCTGAGAGACCGAGAAGAGGCATACCTATGGATCCGTGAAGAGATATAAAAGGGGCTAGAATTGTTCAGTGCTTTATAGGTGTGAATTAGTACCTTGAATTGACTCCTATAGGATACAGGAAGCCAATGTAAGGACTGACAAAGGGGTGAGGTGTGAGAGGACCGACTGGAGAGGAAAATCAGTATGGCGGCAGCATTCATTCCAGCAATATGGTTTTTAAGAACACCAATTAGGAGAGGCTACAATAATCCATGTAAGAGATTACTAGAGCATGGACAAAGTCCTTAGTAGCATCTTGCATAAGAAAGAGGCGGATGCGGGCTATGTTTTTAAGGTGGAATCTACAGGATTTGGTAACAGACTGGATGTAAGGCTCAAAGGTAAGGCCAGAATCAAGTATAATGCCAAAAGACCAAGACAGCGTGCTTGAAAGGATATACTGATGTGGGTACCACTAACTTGAAGGGAGAGTGAAGGAGGAGGATCAGTTTTAGAAGGAGGAAAGACAAGGAGACCATTTTTAGAGAGACTGAGTTTCAGAAAGCAGGAGAACATCCCATCAGAGATGGAAAGGAAAGCAGTGACACATTGCAGGATGGCAGGGGAGAGGTCCCCTCCCCCCCCCCTTTTTTTGTGGCCATTCGCCACCCCCCACCCCCCGGACTGAGCGGAGTGGTCCCTCTGGGCCTGGCAGGGCCTCCCCCCGCATTTTAATCGGCATGCCAGATACATATTCCCACAGGGGAGTAGCCGAGGAGCACGGCCGGACACAATCTACCTCCCCAAAAAAACCAAAACTGTATTTTTAATGGATTTACGCTCTCTCTAGCGAACTATGGTTAATGGTGTGGTCAGCCCCGCAGTTACGGTACCCGAACTCCACACCCCCTATAGTTCAGGGAGAATGGACCCGGGAGCCACACCCCACACTGGACTGGCGGCCGGTAAGACCAGTCAAAACCCACAGTATTTTTCTTCTTCATCTTCTTCATCTCCTCACCCTTCTTCACCCCCTCTCTCTTCCCCCCTGCTCCCCCCACCCCCTCCTCCCTGTACGGCGGGACCAACAAGTGATGATGGCCTTGAACGGGGGACACACAGACTTCCCGAAGGGCCCCCGACCAGTCAGAGTGAGAGACATAAAAGCCACAATAGGCACACTAACCGACTACATAGATGTCATTGAAACTGACCTCCTTAAACGTTAAAGGGCTGAACGCTCCCAAAAAGAGGCGTTTAAAGTTTAGGGAAATTAAGAGGCTAGGCTCAGATATAGCCTTTTACAAGAGACGCACATACCCAAAAACACATCTTTCCAATTGAGGGACTGCACTTACTCCACCTCATATGAAGCTAGATCACACCGCAAAGGTAATGGAGTAGCCATACTTATACACAACAATTGCCCGATCCAGATTCAGACCTCAGAGGTGGACGAGGAGGGGAGATACATTGTCCTGACGGGAACCCTCTACTCCCACCCAATTCACTTGATCAACGTGTATGCCCCAAACACGCCTAATCCCGCCTTTTGGGGGAACCTCACCACAAAAATAAGGGCCCTACCATATGCACTGCTCATAGTGTGGGGTGACCTCAATGCCGTACCGTGCCCCGCCGCGGACAGGAGCTCTAAGGAGGGCCAACTGAGATCGCAGGGAAGGGGGAGCCAAGACAAAGTGCTTCACGAATTCATCCAAAACACAGACTTGGTGGATGTGTGGCGAGCGCAACACCCCAGCGATCACGACTACACATTCTATTCCATCCCCCACGGGACATACTCCAGGATTGACTGTTTCCTAGTAAACAACGCTAGCATGGTGAAGGCTGTGGAGTCGAGAATAGGATCTATTACATGGTCGGACCATGCTGACATATCCCTAACCTTAGGGGACCTCTGTACCGCATCACCTTGGAACTGAAGAATAAACCCCAGCTTACTACGGGACGAAGGCACATACGAGAAGACATCCAAGCATACTTCCACGCGAACAAAACGGAAGACATGTCCCCAAGCATCATCTGGGCTGCTCACAAAGCAGTGATCAGAGGCACATGCATTAAGCTAGCAACCAGGAAAAAGGCACAAAAGATGAAGTCGCTAAAACAACTCCTAGAAAAATTAAAGGACCACTCTAGGCACCCAGACCACTTCAGCTTAATGAAGTGGTCTGAGTCCAGCTAGGGTTAATCCATTTTTATAAACATAGCAGTTTCAGAGAAACTGCTATGTTTATGAATGGGTTAAGCCTTCCCCTATTTCCTCTAGTGGCTGTCTCATTGACAGCCGCTAGAGGCGCTTGCGTGCTTCTCACTGTGATTTTCACAGTGAGAGCACGCAAGCGTCCATAGGAAAGCATTATCAATGCTTTCCTATGTGACCGGCTGAATGCGCGCGCAGCTCTTGCCGCGCGTGCGCATTCAGCCGACGGGAAGGGGAAGAGGAGGATCGGAGGAGGAGAGCTCTCCGCCCAGCGCTGGAAAAAGGTAAGTTTTAACCCCTTTCCCCTTTCCAGAGCTGGGACGGGAGGGGGTCCCTGAGGGTGGGGGCACCCTCAGGGCACTATAGTGCCAGGAAAACGAGTATGTTTTCCTGGCACTATAGTGGTCCTTTAAGACAGACAGAACAAAAACACAAGACAGCTCCTAATCCAGCAATGCTTGAACAACTGAGTGGGATCAGGAGATCCATAACAGAACTACTGCTAGACGAAACAGCCAAAGCTATGCCATGGTCGAAAAGGACCTACTACGAGAAATCGAATAAAATGGACACTTTACTAGCCAGAACCCTACGTCCAAGACAGAACAGAACCCCCATAACCACGATCAGACATACAGACGGCTCCATTAAATCGAGTCCAACCGATATAGCGAAGGTATTCACAGATTACTATACAAAGCTATATAACCACACACCGAAGACTGTAAACACACATGAAGACACCATGAATAGCATGCAGGACTTCTTACGGGATCTGGACCTACCAAAACTCCCAACGGCAGCAGCCTTGCTCCTAAATGAGCCCATCACAACGGAGGAAATAGAAAAGGCAATAACGGGACTGAAAGGCAACAAATCCCCCGGACCCGATGGTTTTGACGGAACATATTACAAAATCTTCAAGGAAGACCTCTCACCAAGACTGGAAAAGCTCTTCAATCACCTCATGATGTCCATGGCCAACATCATCCTCCTGCAGAAACCGGGAAAGGATCCCCTATCACCAGATAACTACAGACTTATTTCCTTGATCAACCAAGACATCAAGATCCTGGCAAAAATTTTGGCAGACCGCCTCAACCCCAGTCTGAAAACATTGATACACCCTGACCAAGTGGGATTTATAACGGATAGACAACTATTCGAGAACACCAGAAGGAACATTGACCTCATCTGAAAACAAAAAACTAGGAACACACCTACACTGTTGGTCTCAATAGATGCGGAAAAGGACAGGTTCGAATGGCCTTATCTATTCAACCTCCTGGAATACCTCGGTTTCCCCGGCAGATATGTGGCATCGATCAAAGCGATGTACAACAACGCAACCGCACAGGTCAAGATCGCCGGGACAGGGCCCAAGCCTTTCAAACTAGGGAACGGGACCCAGCAAGGATGTCCCCTATCTCTGCTCCTCTTCGTGCTCACATTGGAACCGCTTCTTCAAGCCATGCGACAACATCCACATCTAAAGGGGATAGTGGTGGGGGGACAGGAGTTCCTCGTCTCCACCTATGCAGACGACGTCCTGCTGACCCTAAAAGATCCCGAGGAGTCCCTAGAGACACTGTAAGAAATCCTTACCCGGTTCGGAGTATTTTCCAGATACAAGGCTAACCTAAACAAATCCAGTGCTCTCCCACTGGGCATGTC